ATGGGTCATCTCCGACGGCCTCATGACCGGCCCGCTTTCAGCGTTTGCAGCTCTCGATTCGCTCTGAGCTGTCCGGGCTACCTCTTTTTTGGCCACTTCGGCTTTCCATGCCTGGACGTACCCGTTTTCGATATAGCAATCAAACCCTCATGCATCTGCGCTCGGCGACAGGGTACCACTAAGGGAGGTTATTGCCCGAGTGACCATTCGGAATTTTCCAAGGTGCCCCTTGCCCGTTTGTTTGCTTGTCGTGGGAATGCGTGCACGCTGCTGTGAGCGCCACAACGTTTTGCTCGTCAAAGAAGGAGCTTGTGAAGCTTGGACGCTCCAAATTTACGCGCAAGTCCTGCGAAACTTTTGTTTCTGAACCAGACTCTACTCCCGGCCATGATGACGAATACAGGCGCGTGGGCCCACTTCAGTGCTCAGTGTGTCCACCTTGGTCTCATCTGACGCCGCCATAATCAGCTGAACGGACTTTCTGAACCCGTGGATTATCAAGCGCTGATGGATCTAATGGCCTTGCCTCCGTCAGTCTAGAGGGGCATCAATGATGTGCACAAGATTCACCGACGTTGAAATTCTAAGAATAACATGAGTTGGTCTGGAATATGCAGGGACGCTCCGATACCATGCGAACACCCTTAAAACTTCCGGGGTTGTGATGATTTCAGCGCAATTCGGATTTTTAACTTCGTTAGTCAAAGCTTGTGAGCACGCATGCGCAGTGTTGGCTTCAGGCGCTATCATTGCTTGGCCAGAAAAGCTTCGACTACTTGAGGTAAGGAAACCGAGTTTGCTCATCCGGATTGTTACGGAGGTCCTTTTCTAGTGGTGCTGCCGTGAATTACACGGCAGCAACTCCAGAAAAGGACCTTCCCTAGAGCTGCTAGTGCTTCATCAATCTTGTCGTGACCATAACGAGCTTAAAGTCAACGACAGCCCAAGGCTTTTGTACCCACAACTCGAAAGCAAACGGTGGCGATTTGAAGTACGCAATTTCCATCGCAGTCAGACTATATTTCCGAAGGTTCGGAGGCTCGTAACTCTTGCCGTGTACGCAGCAAAGTTGTAGAAGGAACCCATTCACGTGATAGCTCAGATCTAGTAGATTTACGCAAGGTCAGCTTCTTCGTTTGACTAACCTTGCGTCCGTGACGTTCAATGGGTTTATCACTCGCAACCCACTGGAAGTATGCTAGCTTGAGTACTGACGCCCGCGGCTACATTTGCGCCCGCACCTTTTGCATCTGTGATCGTATTAATCGTAGTGCATGTACCTGATTCTGCTTGTTTTCCGTCTGTAAACATTTACACGTGTTTCATTAAGTGCTTGTCGACTCGCTCGACGTATACGGAACACGGATTCATGTCTTCCTGTCCGGTTCTGAGGACACTTGTTGAGCGTCACCGTGCTCAATTGCTCCAGGAGAATCTGCTCCACCTCAGTCTACAGCCGGTTCTAGGCGAGTCACCGAAGAAGTACCTGGTCATGAGAGGTTCTCTCCAAGCGGCCTTTCTCGCCCGCTGCTTACGAGCGCGTGCACTCACTTCACGATTACGTACGAGGGCCGGCCGCGCTCGCTTCATGTTTTCACCGTTTTGGTATTGAAGCAGAACTTCGACGCCTTTTACATCTCGATGTCAGTGGCCATGAGGACAGACTGGGAGCCAAAGTTGCCCAATTAACACGGTTATCCGGGACTAAGCGCTACACTGCAGTGATCGAATCATCCCCACCTTCATCAACACCTTAATCTTTCCTCTAGAAGGACTCACATATTGCATCTTACAATGTGTAATTGGTTCTTGTGATTGCCACGCCATGCCAAGTGCTTTGAAGTCGGGCCTCTTTCCAGTACGTTCGTCAAGCGGCGTTCAGTGTTTCTTGCTTGTTGACCTGTGAGACTTCTCAGGGCGCTTCTCTGTGTAGCGGCGATGCAGACATCTGTTTTTGGGCACTTCCCGGGGGCACTTCGGTTTCGTCCAACTTCTCTCTTGCAGTTGAATTGACGCCGCTGTCGACTGCAAGGCCACTGGATTCCACTCTAACATCCCATTCTATCATCCCGCAAGTTTTAGAGCTCGCTCGTTTATTTTTGACTTTCCCGCCTCGTTTGAGTTGAGCGAGCAAGCCAAGGAGCCGTGCTAGGCCGGCAAGGTAATTGAACGGACAACAGTAAGCAGGCTATATTCCAACTCGAGGACGCGTTTTGGGACAGCGCGAGAGTCACGGCTGCTTTCGTTGCTGGTTGCTAAGGGCCCCTGGGCTTCTGTAGTCGTCTCTTTAGAGAAGTATCTGGTTGTGCCGTCTATCTTGAGGCTTATGCGCTGCCCAATACCCCCTGCTTTCAAACCGCCCGTTTAAGCTATCTCCCATGCCATGACATGCCAATCTTGTAATATCTTCTCTGGCATTGAATTCCTGGTTTGGCGGCCTGGATCCAGAAGGCCGCGCTTACTCCACATTTCTTGTTATTCTGTGCGAAGCACACACAGTCGGAGAAAGCGGTTGAATCTGCCCGCCCTGGTTACGAAAGAGAGAGCGTTTTGGCTGCTTTCTCTAGGAGTTGCTGCCGGCGTGCCCTCTAGCGTGGGCCGCTCCTCTCGAGGGATGTTTGTCATCGAATTCACGGGCCACTTGCTCGAGATACATGATCTTTTAAAGGGACTCAGAATTTCACCTGTTCTGCCCCCATGTGCCAGTGCTCTACAAGCACAGCATATATAAGAGGAAGGTATTTTTGTAGAACTTAAGTTGTTGGCAAGTACTCGGGTGCATCGTGCGGACCTTTTATACAGACCGCCTCCATTTGTCAGAGTTCTCACTAGTACCGGTTATCAAAACTAGGCGTGCAGGCCTGCTTGGAGTCATATGCCTGGTTGCAATATCATACTTCGAAACAATTTGTAACAGTCGCTTACTACATCAAATGGAGCTGCGCAATCAAAAGTGCAAAAGACAGAGCAGTCCCAAAGGGTCACGGGCAAGGCTCTTGTGTCTGTCGAGCTGCAGTATTTTAAGAAAGACCCGGACACTGTCACGTAATATTTTGTTTCCGGTTAGATGATGAGAATAGTTCGGTCGCTGCTGGGCCCCCCATCTTTGCGCACCGCTTTTCTGTGGGCCCCCTTCTTTGAAAGGTTGTGCTGACGTGCGTCATGCATTGCCGCGGCACTGACCGTGAAGTTTGCGCACTCAAAGGCGCAATCAATCTACCTGTGTACATCTAACAAAACTTTGCAATAGAAGCAGACCCCCGAGTTTGCGGCCATGGATGAACGATTACAGGAGCGTGGGCCCTATTTAGTGCCCAGAGAGTCTTCGCTGGTCCAATCTGCATGACGCCGCCACTGCCTGCTTCATTTCTTAGCGGCGATTAATCAGCTTCGCTGACGTGACCACCTCCATACAACGTTTCGTTTTGACATTTCCGGTTGGGCGCCCCGGTTCGCGCCTTATCCTCCCTGTGTGCATGCGTCGGAGTTCTCATGCAACCTGGCCTAGGTCTGGCAGGACTCTTGAGCGCCTCTCGTTGATGAAACATTGCGGCCGTGATGACTACCTATAACCAGTGGGTTGAAGGCTCAGTCTATGAGAACAGTCAGGCTTCCGAAGCCGCCATCCTTGTATTTACAGTCGTTAACTACTGAACTACTTATTTGATGCAGGCTACCTTTCATCTGCCACATACTTCGAGTGGTCTCGCATCTGCTCGTCCGAAATCGTTTCGAGGCTTTGTCTTTCAAATACATTCAGATTTAAGGAGGTCCCGTCCCTAAAAAGGTGAGTTTCTCTGCCCTTGGCGCGTCTCTGCTATTGCTTCAAAAGGCGTATTATTTCTGACGACATATTGAAGGACTGCTGGCAAGGGCTGAGTCTCGTTGAGATTTCCTCTCTCCGTAGCGATGGGCATATATGGTGATGTGGCCGAAGTTGTGCCAGGCACGTGCATGCTCGTTGCTCGGTATGCCTGTCTTCCGTTCACACCCTCGGCAGCAATGGTTGGTTTGTGCAAAGAGAACCAGCAAAACATCTACCAATCCTTCCGTGTATTCAGCCGTCGGATTTTTTTAAAAGGAAGTAAGGACCTCGGCTGGATTGATGTACTTTTGGAAATGTGATTCATGTGTGTCGTAATGCACGGAGCAGGGCTAACAGCAAAGTGGATTGATCTCATTTCACATGAATGATCGATTGAGCCTTCTCCCTGTCCATGCAGGTTGTCCTAGCTTTTACAAATGGCCGATCTCGGCAGAGGGTGGCGTTACTATACTCCAATACTTATACTTGGGTCGAAGCAGCAACCATGGCAGCGTCTACGTTTCTCGTCGGAGATTCTAGGAGATAAAAGAGATCAAGACGACGTTCCTCGTCCGATATTCTACGAGATGATTAAAGAGACTGGATACGTCAGGGTCCGGAGCTTGGCACCCTTCGCAACCCAGATAACATCTCGTCTTCGATTTCGTTACGAGGATTGATCCTAGGCATATAACTAAGTTGTCACATGTATCACTGACATCATGTTTCTTGCTGTCGAATTGATAGCTCGTCATGAGCAGATGCATCAAACTAATAGCAGGCTCCTACCTTAGCGAGTCAGCGTTCAAATTGTATCGTGTTGCACCCCCGGTCAATTTGTTGCGCCCTGAGGCCCCCCCGAGTCTGGCCGGCCATTGAAGCACTCGATGGAAGTATCTGTTATGCATCATGTTTGCATCCCTGTTCGTGTGCAACTTACAAGTCGCCGCTGTCTGCAAATGTCCAAATTTTGGAAGGCATGGTCAGAAGGCTCGCGCACTCAGTCATGAGTGTCTATCGCGAACCTTGATTCGCGCTGCCCGCTTCAGTGCACGTCGTGTGCAGCATGGGCCAGTTGTTGCATGGTTGTGCAATGTAGCAAGCGCGATGCAGATCAGCCGCCTCGAGTAGTCCTTGGTGTGCGAACAAAGGACGTACCAGACTCAAAATCCGTACTAAGAGCGTGCATGATCGCATGATTAGAAGCGTTTTCCTTCAAGACTACGCCGAAGGGCCTGTGAGGGCTACAGTGCTCGCCGCCAGCTATGCTAGCTGGCAGGCCGGGCTGGCATTACCCATCAGCCGGGCCGCGCCCCCTCACGTCGGCGCCTGTAGAAACGCGGGCGGCCGCGGCGTTTACGTTAGCTACTGTATGACGTGGCGCCAAAAGATATCAAAGTTGCATTCACTTCTTGCCAATCGGGTCCGATTGTTTCCAGAGTTCAGGAATATACTAAGAGGCATTGCTCTAGTTTGGCTTTTGCTAGCTAGATGGCACCCGGTTCTTTTGCCAAGTTTTGGGAAGATTCACAGGACGTGAAGACAAGAGATCATGGTCATATCAGCCAGCTCCGAAGTCAAGTGCTAGCTGACGACCTCAGCGCCGTCCTTGGTGGCTCATAGAAGGTGCATTCACAGTGTGGTGGTGTATGTTTTGCGGCGCTATATAGAAGTGGAGAAGTGGAAACCCCAGGGTCTGCTTTCTCAAGTAAGGCTGTAGGTTGAGCTTGTTCTTTTCTTGTGATACCCTTGTGAGAATGGGTTTTGAATACTGATCCGTTGGCGCCCTGTTCTGATTGCTTGCTGACAGAAACTTCTTTTCTTTCTGGCTCGCATTCGGATCTACCACCATCGGAGGTCTATCTGTATACATACATTTTCTTAAGGGGTACATGCAACTGCAGCGGGGTTCAAATCTAGAAAGCATCCTGACTCTTAGAAACCAATATGACATTGTTTTAAGCCCCGTGACATCAAATCACGGCAGCATTGTTCGTAGTGGGAAGTGTGACTAGACAATTGCACTCAACGGTGCAGATCAAGACCACGGCGCCATGGATCTTCTTGCAACGGACGATCATATTGCAGCCCTCTCGCCTCTTGAGCTCGTAAATTGGGTGGTGGAACTGAGCTCTGGAGGTGGGTGACATTTGCTACCACTGTTTGAGCTATCGTTTGCTCCTTCAGCAGACTGCGCACTCTGAACTTGCTACTCTATGTAATCTGTGTCAGCCACTGGCGGCGCATTGAAAGCTCGTTTGTCAAGCTGATTCCACGTTGATCACGTGCCTTCCGCAGTAACGTCGACAGCAGCCTGTAAAAATCTGTTGAGCTTTTGTGCAGATGTGGTCTGTGCAGTTGAACACTCTTGCAAATCTTATGCAACTTTCAGATTGGAGCATCACATGACAGTTGAAAAGGAAACCAACCTCAGTTGGACCAATCAATCAGCTTCATAATGATCCAACGTCTCATCTTCCACAAGCCAACAGCTGACTGTTACTTTGTTGACACCAGGCGATGGCCGGAAGCCTGTCAAGCACACCGCCCTTCTCAAGCTGGTGTCAAACGCGCTCGCGCTTTCCCCCGACCACGACCCCTACCGCCATTCCCTGGCCTGTTTCAAGTCTCTCGGCGGGGGCCAGTTCTCACCCGCGCAGCAGAACAGCATGGGCCACCTGCTCCTAGCTGCAATTGACCAGTGTAAACAGGCCCCAACCTTCTCCCACGTTGACCTAGCTCCCTCTAGAAACGAGGCTGCTGCTCTGGTGTCGTCCGTCTTCGAGGGGGTTTTCACACTAGAAAGCCGGCTGGTGGTCCGGGTGGCCGCCGCCTTCGGTGTGAAAAGCCCCGACCTCGGGGACTCAGGGAGAGCCGCAGCGGGCCAGTTTACGAAGAAACTAGTTGCGGATAAAAACTTTGCGGCGGGGATGGGGCTTGCGCAGCAGCTCGACTTGGGGCCGGAACTAGGGGCGGCGCTTTTGTTGCAGATGTTAGACATGGGGGCGGCGCAGGCTGCGGTCGATTGGGCGAAGCCATACGGAAAAGAAGTGGGGGCGCGGATAGTGAGGGAACTTGCGGCGAGAGGGGACCATAAGACGGCGTGGCAGATGATTGAGAAGCTGGGAATGCAGGCCGAGTTTCCAGGGGCGTATATTGCCTACAGGTGAGGATATGGTTTTGACTCTGGCAAGAACGAAAAGAGGGAAGCGACAGTCAGTTTCCAGTGAAGGAAAGTTCGCTGGTGTAAACAAACGTCGATATTTCTGGTCTTGTGAACTGTAGATGTGAGGGAAACGGGCTCATGCATCCGCGCTTCACTTTTATCTTGGTGAAGGCAGGGTAAATGATTACAACGATTTCACAGGTATCATTGTCAAACATCTCAAACCCATCCGTGCAAAAAATCTGGGTAACTTTTCTTCTTCAAGAGCTGTAGTGCAGGTCCAAGAGGGAGAAAAAGATGGCTTTCTGTTGGTCTGCTTGGAAATAGCGTAATCAGTTGAAAGACATTCAACTTCACAATCATCTGGCGCTTCAACAGAATAATCTGTGTGCATATCAGTCAGTCTGCACGTTGAGGACCGGCTATAAGTCGCTTCAAAGCTTGTGGAAGCTGCCATAGAAAAGTGGTCGCTTCTCTTTGTCCAGACGATGGTGTGGATCTCAGATGAAAACTTCGACGATCAGCATTCTATCCTCGAGAACGACTCACTTGGCAAACCCTCAAGGACCTGTTGGAAGGTTGCTTCTTTCCCTGTTTCGGAACCCATGTTTACCTTCCGCCCCTGTTGGCCCAAACGTCTCTCTCGCAAAGCAATCAGATCGCCTACTGGTCGGCCGATATGTCGAACCAACGCATTGTATCAGTCAGCTTATCATGTCCTTTGCTTCGTGAGCTTCTAAGCCGGTATGTCTCGCTTCCCCTCCAGGAAAACGTCCATCACGAAGCTTGCCAAGAAAGGGGTCTGGGACGTGGCCCGCTCCCTCGCTGAAGAGGACCCGATTCTCAAAGAGCACCTCGTGGAGGCCGCCATCATCGAAGAAGAGTTCGCCCACGCCGTCGAGTTTGCCGAGCGGTTCGGCCTTGACCACCTCTTAACCGAGGAGGTTGTCTCCGCGTCCGGGCTGCCAACGCAGACCGACTGCCTAACCCTACCGATCCCTCCTAACCGCGTTTTCTTCGTCGATAACCCGGAGGGTTTAGCGCGGGCTGAAAATGAGATCTGTGCCTCGGACTTAGTGGGGATCGACTGCGAATGGAAGGCGGACTCAGTTCGGGGGGCGGTCCCAAACCGGGTTGCGTTGCTCCAGCTGGCGACACGTGGCGGCGCGTGGTTGGTCGACCTGATAACTCTCAGCCAATCCTCCCCCGAAGCTCTAGAGTCTTTCCTCTCCTCGTTCCTTCCCAACGAAAACATCCTGAAACTCGGGTTTGCGGTCAACGGTGACCTGGACCGAATCTCCAAAACTCACCCCGCAATCCGGGGGGCGCTCCGAAACTGCGGCCCGCTTCTAGACGTCGCCGGGTTAGCAAACCTGCGGGGAGTTAGAACCAGGTCCTTGAGCGGAATCTGCGGAGTCTGCATCGGAAAGCCGCTTTCTAAACGGGTGCGGATGAGCAACTGGGAGGAGCGGCCCCTAAGCGAGGCGCAGACGCAGTATGCTGCTCTCGACGCGCTGTGCCTGATTCCGCTCTTCGATCTGCTTACCAACCCGGACTTTCGGGTGCCAGAGAGAACCGCGTACAGCCAGGCAGCTGATGGGGGGATTGCAACGGTAGAGGAGCCGGGAACGGCGGAAGCTAGCTTTAGAGTCGAGAATGCAGATGAGTCGGCGGTTGAGGGAGCGACTGGTGATCTGGCTTTGGGCCGAAAAGGAGGGGATCCTGAAACTTTCGAGGGGCTGAGCGAAACCAACGGAGCAGCGCTTATAGAGCCTGGATCAGGGCTAGATAGAGAGTTGCAAAGTGAGTTAGAAAGCGGGTTGAGTAGAGATGTAGACAGTGAGAGGTCAGACAAAGGTATAGATGGAGGAGAAAACGGTCGACTACAGGAAAACGAGGCGGCCGGAGGGTCAGGCTCTGACGCAACAACCGAGCTGCTTGCGTCAGCAACCGGTACTCTGGAAATGGTTGGCCCCTCTCTTTCGTCAATGGCGGAATCTCTCTCAGCTTCCCTTGCCGCGCCGGTTAGAAACGAAGACGGGTCCTCGGTTAGTAACTCCGGACGGAAGCCTCAAAAGCCGTGGCAGAGTTTAGTGTACTTCTACGGGGCCAGGATCGACACGGGGAGGGGCAACAAGCGACGGGAGAAGCGAAAAGGAATGGCAACCGAGCGTTTGGAGAAAGCTGATCTACAAGGGCCGCAGTTCTCGGAGAACGGTGCTCTAAGCTCAGGCGGACCGCAGATTGCCGAACCAAAGGCAGAGTACTCACTTTTGGCGGGTGAGAAACTAGAGGCGGGAGTCGCTGCGGCGGTCGAAAAGCCGCAGGCGTCAGAGAAGGGAAAGGGGACGTGTGAAAGGAGCAAGTGGAGCGGGCTGGGGCTTCCCGAGAGAGTCGCGGAGGCGCTTCAGAAAGGAGGGGTGGCGCCCCCGCAGGTTTTAGTGTGCTGGGAGGGAGGGGAAACGGTGGGGAGAGATAGTGAAAAAGCGGAGGTTGGTGGAGCTGGTAGGGCTGACGTGGATGCGACCGAAGACAACGGGAGTTTGGACGTGAAGGCGGAAGTTGAAGGGGAGCCATCGAGCTCGCATGTGGGTGTGAGTCCGGTCGATGGGGCCAGCGGGATCCGGCCGGAGCATACGGAGGTGGACGGAAACGGAAGTGGGAGCGGAAACGGAAGCGGAAGAGAGGTTGAGGATGGAACGGTGAGGGGGGATGAGGACGAGGAGACTCGGGCGCTCGAAGCCTGGCGAGCCGCGAAATTGGCAGCGGCAGGGGAGCGAAAGGTAGGTCAAGAGGGAAGAGGCTCGGGAACTAGGAGTGGGGAGGAAAGTGGTGGTGTTAGCGAACGGGTGACTGGGAGCGAGGGGGAGGAGGCCAGTGGACACGTGGCGACGCGCGAGCGGCCAGCGTGGCAGGTGCGATGCATACCTGTGCTGATCTCGGGTGAGAAACAGCGCAGGGAAGTCTCAGATGTGCACGCTACTTCTGTCCTGTGGTTGGAGCGTAATCAGTGGGACTCTTGAAGTTCAGACCTTGCAGTGTGACTGCTTCTGCGTCCTCTTATCTTCCTCTTTCTTATTTGTGACCAGATATGTTATTTCTTGAAAAGTTCTTATCTTCCACTCTAGCGGTTGAGTGGATCACGACTGAACTAAACGACACTTGAAACACGAGCATAGGATCCGGAGGAGCGGCCATCGACCTTGTGAGGACTTCCCTGTGAGAAACATTCCTAGCCGCAGCAACTTCTGCTGAGGAGCGTTCGACTGATCAGTCCTAGCCTTTTGGCTTCGCTCGCACGGAAGCAGTCCATGATGTCCAACATGGTCAGCAGCTTCGAAAATTTCAGACGTTCTACCCAACATGGGCGACATCTGATCAAAACCTCGACTGAGTATTTTCATTGTTACAGTGCTAGAAGCCGCCGTGACCAGTCGTCCGGCCGCAGTGAACTCTTCGGAGAGCGGAGTCGAAGCTGACTCGCCGGAGCTTCCCACGCCGCTCGTTCATCCGCCCAAGAAGCTTAGACGTGAGCGCCAAACTGTTGCAGTGTTATTTGCAAAGCTCAGAGTCTTTCCCGTTTAGCTAGTCCGAAGCGCTCGTTAAAATCTGGACGGCGTTCCCCTGAGAGAGGAGCAAGCGAACGCGACCCAAGGGGCTGCAAAGCCTGTGGCCTTATAGAATCCAGCGACAACAAATTACACATATTAGTCAATTTTGACAGATTCTCGGATTTTCTGCATCTGTGCTGACCGGTCACTGTCGTTAGCGGCTTTGTAAGACTGAGCTTAGAATGCAATTGTAGAAACAGTTTTCCGCCTATTACTCGACAGGGTCTTACAGTTTTGACTCGCGGTGTTGCGCCTTTTTCCCGGCTCAACCACGTGACAACTTGCTTGACCTATGTAGACATCTGCCTCCCATCCTTATACGTTACTGGTATCTTCCTTTCGAACTTATCAAGTGCTAGGGCAACGTTAGTGTGGACTGTTAGCGGCTCGCCTATGCGACCAGGTAGTCTGTTGAAGCTCTTTCACTCCAGATTCAGGACAAAAACAATACGTCCATCTCTATGACCAATGAGAAATTGCACAACGGAGTTTGTCAGGCTAAGGGGATCCCTCTTCTCGAATGCAGTAAGGCCTGTTGTGCTTCTCATCGGCGAGGGGCGAACCCCTGATCTCCAGGTTGTCATTAAACACCTGGGCATGCCCGGAAAGTGAGAAAGCAACCCCTATTGTGCTCCCCTCTTTTCGTTCCTCTTTCTCTGCTCTCTCGTTTCTGCGTGCGACGCTTTCGGGTAGATAAGTTACCTATTGATTAAGGTATGCAAGTGTCCCGCAGTTCATGAGAGGAAGTGTGCCGACTGGCATGCCGCCCTTGCCTGCGCATGGCATCTGTCTGTCGCCGTTTTCCCTCGTGCCCAAAGTCGATCGTACTTGCACGCTTCTTTCCGCAAACGACGAAGGTCGTTTGAAAAGGCTGCCGAGTCAGAGCGTCTGCAGTGATGTGCCTGGTTACTGTAGCAAAAGATTCAATCGCATTCCTGCCTTCCCAAGTACGCCACGTATAAAATCTTAAGTAAAGAATCCTGTTCCCGGAGCAGTAACGTTCGGCCACGTAGCAATTGCTGCTGAAGAGAAACACCTAAACTCTTTGTTGTTCCTCGCAGACTGGCTTGGATCGCCGACGACCACGAGTGTCTGACCTACTTCGGCTACCCCCCCGCGCTGCTCCCCCCGACCGGCCACGTGAAAAGAGCGCTTCTAGCTTTCGACAGCAAGCTGAGATCACAGCTCGGAAAAGCGGGGGCCCGGGTTGTGACCGCTTCCGGCAGAGAGGGGGTCTCTCTCGCCTGGGAAATAGGCCCCCTGGTCCGGTCAACTGGGGCCATTTCGCGGGACTTTGCAATCAAGGAGGCAGTTGGGCTGGAGGGCCGAACGGAAGAGAGTGGGGAGCGGAAGAGCGGAACGGAAGAGGGTGGGGAGCATGAGAGCGGAATGGAAGAGAGTGGGCGGGCGGAAAGCGACCGTGATGGAACTAGCGGAGAGGAGACAGCGGAAACCGGCGAGATCGTGGGGGCTGCATCCTTTGACAACGGTGCGTTGGAAAATAGAACGGCCGAGGAGGATGGGAGCAATTTGCGAGCAAACGAGCAGGGGTCCGACGATGGAGCGAGGCGAAGCGGAAATCTTCAGGGGGGCGCAGTTTCCGGCGGAGTTGGGACGGAAAAGGGCGGAGCTTCACCGGAAGGCGGGAGCGGAGACGGCGGTGATTCTGGGAAAGCCGAAAATCGAAAGCGCGTTGGCGCAGGGGAATGTTTAGGGTTGCCGCCACCCGACCAAGCGTTCGATTTGAACGGGCCAACGGATGTGAACGGGGTCGACGTAACTGCAGTGAACCATTCAGGGGGATCCCTCTCCGCGGGCTGTGAGGAGGTTGCGACGTGGGATGAAGTGGGCCGGAGTGCGTCGGGAGGGGAAAACGCGGGGACTGCGTCCGTGAGGAGGGGTGCGGAAAGTGCGTCCGGAGGGGGGGGTGCAAAAAGTGCGTCCGGAGGGGGGGGTGCCGAGACTGTGTCCGGAAGGGGGTTGCGGAAAATGCGACTGGAGGGGGGGCTGCCGAGGAGGCTGTGTTTCGACAGAGGTTTGCAGAGACTACGTTTGGAAGGAAGGTTGCAAAACGTGCGTCCGAAGGGAGGGGTGTCGAGGCTGCGTCTAGGGGGCGGTTTGCCGAGAGTGCTTCCGGAGGGGTGACTGAGAGTGCCTCTGAAGGGGGGGTGACCGAGACTGCGTCTATAGAGGGGGTTGCCGAGACTGCTGCTGGAGGGGGGGGTCGCCACACTGCGGTTGGAGGGGGGACGGAAAGACGTGCCGCAGGTCTGGTGGGCTCCCTAAGAGCTGACGGAGGCGTACTGGCTGTGAGGTTTCATCGACCAAGTTGGGAAACCGAAACCATTCTAGAACTCCCTTTAGAACCCTGGTACAGCCCCCCCAGCAAAGTAGAGCAGCTTGTCAGGGTCGCCGAAGATCCAGCGGGATGTGTGACCTGTGAGCAAGTGGGGGGGTCCGAACACGGGTCCGCCGTGCCCCCCAGAACGTTCAGGAAACGAAAACCGCGTCCCCCGAAAAAGAGCCCCCTGGCAGGAACGGGTCGGTTCGTTGGGCTGGGCACGAGAAAGGAGCTAGAGACGCTGGTTGCAGTGCTCGGGGGATCATCCCGGGGATCGCGTGGCGTGAGCAACGGGCTGGGGGAAACTAGAGTGGTGCGAGAAACAGCCGCTCCGGAAAAGCGGTCGGGGTACGATCCCCGGTCGTCGTTTCGGGAGGCGTGGGCTGCGGAAGCGGAGAGAAAGCGGCCATTTTGGGCGGGGTGGTTTTCCGGCGCGCAAACGTCCGCCCGGTACGAACCACCGGGGGCGATTCGCCCGCCTTGGAGGGAGCCGGTTGGTCAGTCACCGGTCGGTGGTTTTGGTTGGTTGACTGACAAGGAGTTACACCCTGCGGACAACCCTTGTGCTGGTAGGTAGCGTGCAAACACCCGGTCGTCAGCACGTCGACCTACCAGATGAGGTTGGATTTTTCGAGAGTTCGCTCCGCGCCTATTATCAGCGTGTAAAACTTATACGGCTCACTTGTCTTCGCAAAGGGCACCAGGCCCATGTTATGTCACGAGAAGTAGTTTTTGGTATTAGTCCAGTCCAAGTACGCATCCTTGAGAAGAGCCGTGATCGAGCCCGTCCGCCGACCCCTTTATTGCTGTGTCCCCATCTCTTCCCTCCACTCATACCATTTTTGTTACTATCACCCAACATTCGTCATTCGTGGCGACCTTCTCCTTAGATATGTTCTTGGAATTCTCAAAAAGCCGCCCACGTCAGCTCGTCCTTCGCTGGGATTCTCGTCCACTTGTGTCCGTAGATGTTAAATTGTGGTGACCATAACCCCCGGCTTTAGAGTCCCCAACTCACGTCCTTCTTGAATCAAACTTGGGTCCATATTCTGATTAGCGCCATGTTTCGAATGCAGGTATGGCAGCACAACGCGACGAAGTTCTCGGTGTGCCTCCAAGCGCTCGCCTGGCCCGCTCAGCCGGAGTCTCGAGGCCCTGTTTGAGGACACACCATATGATACGGGACGGATTATGCCCAGGTAAGGAATCTGACCTCGTAAACAAGGCCTCTCTTCTGACGCCATGTGTCATTGTCCCATCTTCCAAGAACTCCTACTGTTCAAGGAGTTCGGAAATCTATTCAATAATTGCTGCCATGATAGCATCCTCAAACGCGAACCAAGCTGTTTCTACAAGCGCCTAATCGTTGATCCTTAAATGCACCCATTCATCAAATCATACCTTTCGCAGGTTTTGCTCTCCGGCCGACCTTTTTGGGTGGAGCGTTGAAAGCCAACCCTTCGACGGGTGTCGTGCGGATGAGATGGGCCGCAAAGGTCTGCCTAGGATGTTAGGCCAGTTCCTGTCCGCCCCTCAGGCTCCCAAAACCTTCACTGGACGCCTAATTGAACATCGGATAACTTTGTCGAGCCTGCCACCCCGTTCCATTCCTTTCCGTGTTTGTATGAAAGCTTTGGTATGTCAACCCCTCGCCCCACGAAGGGAGAGCACAAATGCATTCCCGAGGTCGCCGGTCGAGATTGTGCTTGATTGGTCAATCCTTCGACAGTCGACTCAGCCGACATGATCGTGTTCGAGTGCGCGATAGCCTTTGAAGCAGAGTGATACTGACAGCTATTGCAAATCACATGGCAATGATGTGGACCTCCGCCCATGCATGCACTCTGGTTATACATGTATGCCAAGATTCGTCGATATTGCGCACTGGTACCGTAATCAAACGGCGCGACCTGATTGCCCGGCTGGCTCTGGCCTGCGGACGCATACGCAGTGGCCCGACACTGCGCGAGACCAGCATATGTCATGCGTCAGGTTACCTTCGATTATATGTAGATAAAGTGAGCCGCGCCCCAGCGACGCGCGCAGCGCACTGACATGGCGGCTTGGATATCGACTTGATCATGATGTCGATCACGCGGATATACGATGTATCAATTAATCAATGTGCTGCATGGCCGCGGCGCGCATGGCAACTTGGCAACGACCAACTATGGATGGCGGGCCGTACTGTTGCTTGCTAAGCACCGGCCAGCAATTACTGCGTCAGGTACGTCGCGTATGTCGTAGTTAATCCTATTCAACGCACGTATACCGGCGGCGTATACAGAACTGCTCGCCGGTGGTGTTGGCGCATGCAGCTGCGCGGCTGCATGCCTGTACGTGACCGTCGCAACATGCGACTTGCTGGCACGGGACCGCTGCCGCAACTTGGCAATGATTCAAATGCGATATGCCACCTTTGCCAGCATGCAGCGCGCGCGAGGATAACGACTCAGAGTTAATCAGATTGGCCAAATTGAGTTGTATACATCATAATTCGCACATTGAGTCACCGTGTCTAATTGTCCCGGAGTGAGTCCGTTTTATTGTACGTCGACTAACTTGGAACGGATTGCTCATGCAAGATCAGCGACTAAGACAGTCTACTGGTGCTCGGGAGAGGGGAACCGGTCTGTCTGCTACAGGCTTCGAGTCCACGCTGTCATGCAGCGTACGTCGCCCAAAGCGTGAATGCAGCACGTTACCCTCCTTCAAGTAGAAGTCACGGTGAAGAGGCAGGCTTCCAATATTAACGTGGCGAGGTACACGCACTTCTCAATCATGCAGTATGCTTGCGCGTGATTTCTATGTTGCAAGTTGCAAAATCTGCATGCCGTACGTTTAGGCAACTCCGGCCCTAGCCCAGTGTTGCGATTCACGAAAAAGACTAGACCTGGCCACAATCCGTTGAAGCCTGGGGACTGCTGCGCTTTCGACCGTTCCTCAATGCTTCTTTTTGAGCCCATCGCCTCGTTTCACAGACTTTGCACAGCGTCTGGCCCGTTTGACTCTATCGTTAACTTGGTATGCTACCGTTGAAATTTAGTGTTGGACTAATTGAGAAGGGGGTAAAGCCTGATCAGACGGCTCCGCCGCCGTCTACTGATCAGACGGCTCCGCCGCCGTCTACAGTCCTACAGCGTGGCGCAACACTGACTGTCCTGTCGGCATTTTCGCTGCCCTCCAAAATATGCTGACGCGAGCGCCAGCTTGATCCTTTGCTCAGGCCGCATCTTTCAAGTTCGCTGCTCAACAGTTGCGGACTTGAATAGCTGGCTTCTCTGTTAAGTCGGAAACGGAATTTAGTGTCTGAACAAAAAGCTATGCTTCGCCGGATGGGGCAGGCGGCTCTGATAGTTTGAAGGAAGACAGTACCTGCTCGAAGTCGGACTTAGCCTCCGCCCACCGGGTTTGGGCCGCAGAGGCGGTGACGACGTAGAAATGTCCTGCGACAAAAGGGTGAAACATGCAAACTATCAGCAAGGAACTACAGTCAGCAAGAAAATGTACAAGACTTGCTGACTAGATGCACTTGGCCTTCCGGCGACCGGAAGGCAGTGGCGAACGCCTTAAAGTCGCTGCCAGAACAAAAAAATCAGCAGAGACCACATCAGCTGCCGGAACGAGTCCATGGTGTCCACATCTAAACGACGATTGAGCGGCGTCTCTTCGATTGCAAGGAGCCGGAAAGTGGTAAGAGTAGATCCAAAGTACACCCTTAGTAGACCCACTGATCAAAGGTATAAACTTCTTGGCTTGGCCAGACCGCTTGTATTCTGCTTTGGGGCAGACTTTTAACACAGTTTCGGAAATTTCAAAGTCGTCTTGCTTCAGACATGACAGCTTCCGGACCCTTCGAAACTTCAACGTTTCCACGTTTCGGCTGCCGGATGCGTTCCTTCAAAACGCTCCAAAAGTTTTCTTGCTTCAGATACAGATTAAATACCACATTGACGTAGTGATGCCGCGCGATTGTGGGCAGCACATTCTCGCCTTTTCCTTCGGATGCAGATTGCAGTTTTTCAAATACTCGACGTTTATCTGCTTCTTGCTTGATTTACGTACCTTTAAAAGCTTCAACGTTGACGTAGTGATGCCGCGTGATTGTCGGCAACACGTTCTCGCCTCTGAAGCATTCCCTCCTGCCGCCAAGGCCCTCTACAACCTCGCCACGGCATTGCTCCGTCACGTACCTGAACGAGACGTCAGAAATAAGATCCTGCGTTTGCCGTTCAACTTTTTTGAGCCAACCCTCCCCTCACTTACGGACCACGTTTGGCGGCGGGACTATCGGACTAACCAATGATAACGGGACAAGTTGAGAAGCGGATCCTCAAGACTAGAAAGAACAAGGCATTGGGATGGTCTAATTTACTTTTCTGCAAGCAAGCAATGCACACAAGGTCGTTCCCTAGGTTTGATCTGATTTCAAGAAAAGCAACCCAAAACGAGTCAAAATTTCTTGGTGGAACTAGCTCACGAAGAAGAAAGACAGGCCTCCTGATCTGTGGAATCGGAAGCTCGTAGCAGGGGACTTAATTATGGATCTCTGCAACCAAGATACGTTCCTCAGGGGAGCCCAAAGCAGCCCAAACGATGTCTGGAGCCCATGGAACAGGAATCTCGAGGATGTTTTAGTTGCACCTTCGAGTGGCTCCCTCTCAAAAGAGCAACTACTCACTCGAAGTGGTACTTGTTCCCTTGTGATGGATCCGCGGGGGTCTCCATCTCTTTCCGCAGAAACTCGGTTGTGATGTTCTGCACGGAAACGTGTCGCTAATCAGTTTGCGTCCATCGGGGCCTAGTTCTAAGCACAGTCGAACTGGATCACACACGTGTCAAAGCTGGTCAATGAAGTAAGAAAGAAACAGAGATATATTCAAAAAGGAAAAAGGTGTATAGGACAGGGCAGCGGTTTTTCAAAAGATCGGGACGGTATGCCGGGTAGGTCGGGCGCATAGCATGGAAAACTGATGAAAAGTTCTCAAGAGTTTCAAAGCTCTGCTTTCAGAGCTTTGTACTCTAGGACAGCTTAAGAGTAGAATCTTTCCGAGAAAGACTTCGCAAAGAAAAGAAACCGGGCTTTTCAGAGCTCGGTGAACGTTTAAGCCGGCAATCTGAAGCCACAGAGAAAAGCTAGGTACTCGATCCTTTGAAAACAACTGTTCCCATAACGAAGAGAGGGTTACGGCATTAGCTTCAACAACGCTGCAAAGTCAGAATCGATGCTCACTCCTCCTATGATGAGCTTTTCACTGATCTCTTCGGCACTGACTGTGCCAGGAGTGCCCGGCGCAATTGGGTATCGTAGCACGCTAACCTGGAATGCAACGGCGGGAAACGGTCAGAATCGGAAATGATTCTAAAGGCACGGGAAATCTAAGCTTGGCTTCAAATGTTTTGCTGCATAAGGATCCTTCGCTCCTCAGAAGGAGACGTACAGTAAGCAAGACTGGCGGAAGGCGTCTTTGAGGAACCTCGATATTTATGCTCTCATGTCAAACCCATTACTCTATGAGCGTCTTGATCCTGATCCCAGTCTCAATTTGGCACATGAACGCTGCGCTGGCCCAGCGAAGTTCTCGGATATCCGTCGACTTGCCAGGAATGAGCTGAAGCAACGCTATAACCAGAAACGCCCAAGATAGGGTTTATCGTATCGTCCATTCGCTGGTTGAACTTATGAGCCGACGGAATGCATCAATCCGAGTCCAGCTTCAAGCTCCTCGTAATAGGGACTCTTCTTGTTCAAAAGATTTGATATGCGACCGATGACAAAAGGACAACCGTCCGAACACCGACCTGAAACCAAACATACTCTCGACAAAGCGCACGAATGAAGCTAGCAGAGGCTCCGAAAGACGAAAGGAATCTGAGACTCACTGTATCGAACGTTTTGAAGTCGCCGATGAGAGCGAGCGTTTCCTCCCCGTCGTCCTTGGCGACCTCCGTCCCCGGTTTTCGGTTCTGCACGAAATGCGCAATGAGCAGATCCTTTCGCGTCCGGTTCCGAAGCACTGTTGATCCAAGCGTGTCTGACGCCTTTGCTTCGCGAAGTTCCGCCGTTTAGTTAAAGCACCTCTAGTAACAAGGGTGAGGACAGTGAATGCTAAGAGTAGAAGCAGCTAGACGAGAAGTCCTTCAAGGAAGTTTCTGTAGTTGTAGGAGCATGATTGGATTTTCAACTGGTTGTAGATACTATGGCTCAGCAATGAAGTACGAAGGTACAAGCAGTCGACATTTCGGAAGATTGTTGACTGGGCGTCTCTTCCGTCCAACCATCGATTAGATTCGTGGAGACATCTCAGTTTCGCGCACCCAAAGAAAATCAATCACGCTTCATGAGAAGCTGACTCCTAATTCCTCGATTCCGGCGATTGAAGCATGACTTCTGCATCCTCCCGCGTGCGGACACGTGGCAGACGGCTACCAACGCAACGTGGGCCGTGATCAAGCATTGACTCACCAAAGCTTCGACGAAGCGGTCGGGGTACGTGATGGTGAATGGCGTGGCGTTCTTGGTCTCACGGTACTTGACGGGTGCGGGCGCGAGCGTTTTGCTTGCAACCAGGATGACGTCGTACGCGCTCGGCCAGACGTCAGCAAGGGCCGAATCTCGTGGGCCTGCGTAAGTCAGGCGAGGAGTCACTAAACTGCCGAAGACAATGTTATCTAGAGTGTAAAGTTGCATAGCCTGTCGAGTCAAGGCAACGTTCTAAGAGATCTTTCCCACTCCGCTGTCGGCCCCGTCATTGCGTTGGTTGTGAGCATAATGTCGAGGAAGGAGGGTTAATAGGTATGATCCAACAAGAATAACTGGGGCTATCCGGTGATCGAGAGAAAGCAGAGGCCGTGCATGTGGGAAAATCCTCTCATCACGATAGCTTTGGAAGAGTTGCTTGACTGGGCTAAAGAAGGCAACCTTAAAAATCTTCCCAACAGGGCCGCTTGCTGATCACGATGCAACAGGCAGAGAACAGTCTCAAGACCTTGCAAAGCGGAAGCGCAGACCAAAAATCTAGAAAAGGTTAGCAAAGGCGGCCACGTGAACTACGGACACAAAGTATTTGTTGCCGCCCTATGAGCAGATTATTGGCCACTGAGGGCGTGGCAGTTCAGCTCAGGACAAAGGCAAAAGTTGACGCTGGATTCCGACGCCGCTGTAAAACGCACGTTGTAGTCATTTATCAGCAACCAACAAGCAGACCCCTATTATAACAATCACTTCATGCCGTCACCGACTGGGGTCAAGTGCCCAAACAAAGTTGCGAGCGAGATTCTTGCAAGGGTGCCCACAAAAAGCTGGTGGTTTCGTGGCTTTGTTGAAACACACTGCCGGATCCAGTCAGCCAAACGGCCGTTACGCCAGCACATCAGCTGAATCTTTCACATCAGAGGAGCTCAGAGCCGATCACAGCGTATAGTCAGTACGAAATTGCTCCAGCATCGAGCCACCTCACGAAATATCAGACGACGTTGAGCAAGGTACCTGACTGGCTCGTGTCAGCTGCCGCATACTTGCCATGGGAATGCCAACCTACTTTCAGAAAGGACCGGCACCTTTTGGGTGAAAAGGGTGGTCGTTCTCTTGACACTAACTAGTTACAAGAGCAATCTATAAGGCACAGCCGCAACGCTGCTGCAGAGACACAGTGGTGAAAGGATATTATTGGCGCCACATCGGCTCTGCCAGTATTAGAACTTGTATGCAGCAGGCCAACCCATGCACAGTCGTCAGCACGGCTGCTTCGCATCGTCTAAGCGGTAGCTCAAAATAGATTCTTCCAATCCAAAAAGGGCGTTGCAAAGGACAGACTAAGCACTTGCAAAGCTTGCTGGCAGATTTTGCGCGACCACTTGGATCTTCCATTCGACTTGCGATGAATCAAGGAACTTCTCGACTGGATGTTGATCTCTCGGACCAAAGCGGTTCCACACTCCAGTTACAAGTTTCACCCACATCTTGACGACCCCTTTGACGAGTTCTGCTCCAAGCGAGACTAAAGAGAAGCTGAAACGGCAGTATGGTCAACAAACTCGGAGTCCGTTTGCTTTGCACGAGTCCCCTGAAATACTGACAAGCTCGTCGATCTAGAAGGGGGTCGACTGTCGTCAATCTGTGATTGCGGACGCACCAACCAAGCTTACGCGGATGGCTCAGCGGAGAACTCACGTAAAGGCATGGGTTTATTCAAACCCAGATCCGTGATTCCTCACTGCCCTACTGTCGAGTAGAATGCGACCAGGAATCAGCACAGCACACGCATGATGACCTCGGCCTTCTGGAGGGCCAGAACGGTCTGACAAAGGAGCAGACAGATGATCAAGAGAGGAGAAGGCTGAAGCGTTCAGTATGGAGACCGGAAAGAGGGTCTGAATGGCCGCAAGAACGGAAACGCGAGGCATCTTATATGACGAAAGGCCGGCCGCAACATCTCATATCCGCTAAGATCGAAAAATTACACGGACAAGTCTTTCGTTACGTTACAAAGGTGACCCGCCCACACGTCTTGGCAAAAGGGAAACATGTAGACTCTTTACCGAAGTCGACTAATACTGCAGACTGTCTGCGAAAAACGCCTCAGAACTGGTTTCGAAAGAGCAGATTTTCAGCGTCAAGGCTACGGGGATGCTAATCGAGATATTTTACCATAAAAGGAAGTCGTAGTAGGAAACCAGGATTTCCGTCGCTCAGCGCATCGCTTTGAATCTACTCCAATTCTGCCAACAATTTGTTGTTTCGTCCCCAGGGCAAAAGGCAAAAGTAGGGCGACAAAGCCAGAACTAGCGGCATTATTGTTCCCTTTGACAGTCGATGACCAGAGCCCTGTGACTCAAGTCAGAGAGAATAATCTCATCATCGCCGCTGGCAACCAGGAGAAGGAGTGGCATCGTCAGTGCAAAAAGTGAATTCACGAAAAGGCTCTGGTTCCCTAAGTTCGAGAAAGTACAGTATCAGTAGTAACGCCAAATCAGTGGCGCGGATTTGCGAGGCATTCCTATCGAAAGGGGGATATGACCATTTCCTTGCAGCTTTCAACATCCCTTGAGCTCTTAAAAGCCAGCGGGATTGCCATTACAAATAGGCCTTTTGGATTTTATGCTTCGAACACTCTGGCAGTACAGAAAGCAGGTCGTTTATGTTGGTCCGATTTTCAGAGGCAACGATGTCAATCTACAGTACGAGGGCTGGGCAACCTTACTCAAGGAAAGCGCTCGAGCAAGGTCGCATCTGTTTTCAACCTATATGGCCTCTGCAAACTGAAGTGCCCTTTCAAGTGTGCTAAGGAGAAGTTCCAATGCAGAAAAGTACCATTCGGCTCTGAAACCCTCGTGAAAAAGCCTGGCTTCAAACCATGCTACGGTGTTAGCACTGTCGCTTGGGTTCTGATCAAAGTAAAGAGCTCGAATCCGTCTGATGGTCTAATAGTTATGCCAATGGTGTGTGGTAAGAATGTCAGCTATTATTGGCTGATCACCAGTGCCATAAACCCACTTGACCTGAACCGAGGCTTGAACCGAGGCCTAAAACAAAAGAAACAACCACGTAACCGATATCCTGGGCTGGACATGCAACTTCAGCGTTTTGATAAATATCAGACCTGTCCAGGACGCGTTTGTGACATGAAGAGCCCTTGAAACATAGAGCGCTTTTGTGACACCGCTTGAGTGAGGCCACTACTGTCAAGGAGTACATCGTTGTGAGCCTTAAACATGCCCAGTGCGGCCTCAAAACTACGACCACAAAATGGAAACGATGGCTCCCTATTCACATATAGGCTGGGGGCTTCATTTTCAAGTCATAAGGACCCCCGTCGGGAAAGGCATGCTGACACAGCGTTTTGCTGTTTACATTGAGATGGACAAAGTTCTATTATCAAAGACAACGACTGAGAAAAAGCAAACTTGTTCAAACAAGAAAGCTGCTGTTTCAAGAGCACTGCAAACCGCCACACCTCCACTTTGATGGAAGTAGGCCACAAAAGTAACCGCGGGGTGAGAAACAAACAGCTTCGATTTTGCAAAAGTGATGCCTACCTTGTTACGACAGATAACCAACTATGCCCGCCCAGGACAAGTGCTGACGCCTCAAAACATATGTTGACAGCACGATTGCAGAAAAGCATATCAAGAAGGAGAGCTGCTGCCCTGACAGATGCCCTAAGAGCGTGCTCTGGACAAGGAGCAGGAAGCAACTCCTCGAGGAGCTACATGTAGTTTTGATCTCCTAAGCATCTATCCTTAGAAAACCAGGGGGCGGGAGGGGGGCTTCCCAACACAGTGGAAGCAGCAAACTTCTGCCCAGAAGTGGACTTGATAGTCAACTGAAAAGAGAAACCACGCAACCCGGCAATCTGGCGTTTGGACCGTCCTTGAGTTGTTAACTCAGCGCGCCTTTGTGATGACCGGAGATCTGGAGCACGAGGGGCCCGACCCAAATCGTGAAGCAGGCTTAGATTTTGTAGTATACATCATTGTGACTTTGACAAGACTCACACAACTGAAGGAAGGGCACTGACGCTGAAAGGCGAAGTAAACTTTGTTCGAGGTGACTCGTCTGCCAGTGGGGAGCCTATAACCTCTAAAACAGCAGCTAGAAGCGACTTGCTTCTGATGCTCCTGAATCAATCTTGTTGACTAGAATCAGCCAGGCACAGCGTTGTGGAAGTCCCAACAAACCACTTGAGAAAGTGCAACACTCTGGCAGACGGGGGTCAGATGTCCACTCCAAATTAACCCAGTATAGCAGTGGAACGCTTTTGCAGCTCACTCAGAACAAGATCCTCAGCTGTGCTATAGAGCGTGGCGGCAAATGCAATCATAGCCAAACAACGGTATACAGGCAAAGCCAGGATTGGGTGTGGGTCCTCCCACAGTGCATTGTTTTTGCAGAAGAAGTTTCCAAGAAGAAAGTGGGGAGAAAGTGAGAATTGGGGTGGAAGCGACTGAATGTGTCTGAATGTTAAAGTCCAGCAAAGTGGCTGTAGTAGAAAGCTTAGGGCTGAATGAGTCGCTGGGGCCCAGTCGCAGCATTATAGCAGCGCGCTTTCAGTGGGCATCTCTGGTTGGTCAATGCAACTTTCGATGAAAATCAAATCAAAGTGATTTAAAGAGTGTTCTGATCAGAGCACGCTTGTCCATTGCATTTGGGCATTGATACAATCAGAACCAGCAGTCGCTTGTGCAAAGAGGGCGTGGCATTAATGAGTCTCGACCACTAAGACGGATGGGGCCAAAACGCGGCTGACCCTTGTACTCACTGCCCGCAAAACTTGTCCTTCTGCAGAAAACTTTGCCACGCGGCTTGCCGGCGGACGTGCGCAACTCAAACATAAGGTACTCATCGAAGAGTCTACGTCAAGCAGCTGAAATCTTTCAATTGGACGTTAATTGCAGACACACAATGAGTCCCAGGGCCGTCAATTCAAAGACCCCAAAAACTAAATCTATAAATGAACAATGCAACCTCAGCATAGAGATTGACCAAATTGAAGAGATGCATGCATGATTTTCAAGTTGAGTCCTGTCTTCTATCAAGGAAAATCCTCTGACAAGTGCACGTACTTATAAGCTTGAGCTTCAAAACTGCAGTTGGCTTTCATGAACAATAAGGTCATCACCATGAAAAGGAGCGTGCTTCCAGTCCTCTGTTTGCAGCATTCTGCCTATGGGGTAGCCACAGCATCCAGCGACCGACATGGAAAGGCAAATGCGGGAACTTTCGGGCATTTCCCTAAAATGCATGAGTATCTCGCAGCATTTTTCTGGAAACAGCGCGGCGATTCGGGCTCAACCAACCATGTCCAAGAACCAACCAACAAGCCGTCAGAATGTTATGGTGACGACTTCTTCAGAAGCAGTCTGCCCTCGTGATCATAAACGCACTCCTCCCATAAACTTCTGCAGCTCTCACCAGAATGCGGCTTTCACTTGTGTCAAAGAACCTTCATCTTCAACAGATAAGAGAAAGGAAAAACGTTTCACAAAAGAATGCAGCAATCTTCTTTGTGCTTACCAGCTCCTGCCACCGCTGCCGCCCCTGCCAACCCCCCAACCAGCACTCTCTTCATCAACTCCCGCCGCCGCAAACCCGCCATCCTGGTTGCATCGCTTTCAGCTCCCCCCGTGCATGCACCACTTTTATCTTCCGACTCCTCCGAGCCATAACTTGCCCTTGCCATTCCTCCATATTGCCTTTTGTGGTATACATTCTTGAAAGTGAAGCGCTGCGCTGATTGCTGCGCAGGCAGAGGAACAAGGGTCCGACCGGAGATTGAGCAGCTGGAGCTCAATGCTGTAAAGTGGGGAACCTTGATGGGCTGGATTGCGGCCACGCAGGAGCCGTAAGGCGTAGCCATGGCGCCCTTTGTTGGAGGAGAAAACGGAGCAACCACTGAATGTGGGAGTTCTCAGAGCTCTGAGCCTGTTCATGAGCCAATTCCTGGGGTTAGGGTTTTAGGGTTTGCTTTTAGAAATGGAGAACGTCCACCGTCGATGATGTGGTCCGGGATCCGGCGATGAGTGGTTGAGACCAATTCTGGTATCAGAAAGCGGTTTATTTCAGCCTCAGCGCAACGTACTTGATTATGAACGGCCTACATTAGTACGGTGGTTGTGTACATTACCTATCTTCCGGTGCAGCTTACCGTACCGTACGTAAATCACGTACCTTGTATGATTTTTGCCGGTGTTCTGCACTCACCATCGCTACTTGCTGAAAAATACGACAAACTCTTCCATTGCCGGCCGAGTGCCGGCCGAACTTGAGGCGGCGTTGAGGCCAGGCTTCATAATGCATTGACATCTTAGACCGAGGTCAAGTGACTTGCATAAGTGTACGTTTCTGATCCTGACTAAGGTCAGCTGGTCTGGTAGGTATTCATCTAGGTGCTTGAGGGCCGAAAGCCCACAAGTTTAACCACAGCGAACATTTCCTAGCTGTAGTATCTTTGTACTGGCAGGTGACCAGACCGTACGCCAGCTAGAGCTGAAGGACTGCGTATTGCCGACATATGGGCTAAGAAGACACGTTTCGCATTTACGAGCTCTAGGATTGTGAATTTTGCAAGTCAACAAACTCAACGGTCTACGGGGTCAACGGCTATTCGCTTTCTCAGGCTCTACATGCAGGAACTCTACAGACTGCATTTGATTCGTTCCGCTCTGGCCGGAGATTCGATTCTGTGCTGTGGAAAGGTTGAGCAGATTAGACTCCTGCAGACTGCGCGCAAAGACGGGCCAGCATTTGGAACCCCAACCTGTGCAGTCTGATACGTGTACTGGCTGATCCTATCTTTCTCCGCAGAACCTCTGCGTCCGGATTCCTCCTTGTGGTCGTTTTGTGTTTGAAGCGGCGCAAAGCAGTCCTTGTTGGAGCCAAGTTAGAAAGCCCACCATTCCTCCCTGCGCATTCTTCTCCAGCAAAAGTGGCGGCTTTGAAAAATCAGTGCATACATTGGGCGTAGAAAGACTTTGTGCTTTGATCAAACTTTAAGCATCACCGCTGCTCTCTGCATTGCGCGCCCGCATTCGGAGCACCAAATTTCTGTAAAGCCCTCAGCATTGCCAAAAGAAGCGGCAAAAATGGGCAAGACCGCAGCGCCCTCTTTTTGGGCGTCCAGCCTGGTGGGGTGTCTGTTGCTGAGTTCACTCCTTTTGGCTGAGGCCGGGAGACACAACAGCGGGCTGGCGAACAAGGGGCGGGAGCATTCACACCACCACCATCATGGTGGCCATGGGCACGGGAAGCCGGTGGGAATAAGCACCGAGGCAGAGTTTGAGGGGGACGTCCTCCCAGAGAAGACGGCTGTCGCGCAGGGCAGCGGAAAGATTGCTGGGGGAAAGTCGGAAAATAACCGGCGGTCGGTTGAGGAGTCTGCTGACGTGGGCGGAGTCTACATGTATCTGGCGTCCTTCTTGACTTTGCAGAGCCGCCCGGCGATCGCGAGCATGACAGGTGTCACGCCCACAAACTGCCACCTGTCGCATGACGTCACCTGCGGCAATGGCAAGCAGTCCGGAGACCGATTGGGTGCGGCCGTGGACTTCCTCACCGCGTCTTTGTTCGGAAAGTCGACCGAGGGAAAGCAAATTCTGCCGGCGGATGAGTCTGCCAAGCCCGCAGAGATTGACCCAGCACCGGGTTTCTCGCAAGCCCCCCTGGAAAGACCATCCGACGCGGGAAAGAAGATCCTGCCTAGTCACGAGGGAACAAAGCCTGCAGAGTTGGATCCGGCAAACCACAAGCAGGGGGGTGAAATTGCCGGACAGGAGACCCCCCTCCCCGCAGACGAGGGCACTGGCAACCCCTCTTGGACCGGCCTCCTCCCGAGCATCGTCCGCGCATTTGCATCCATCCGCAACTCTGGCCACGTCACCGCTGACATCAGCGGCGCGTCAGCGCTCCGCCGGCCGTCTGATGCCGGCAAGCAGATCCTGCCTGCAGACGAGGGGAGAGGTGTTCAGCCCCCTCAGAGCGGAATGGAGGGGGAGCGGACGGAACTGAACGCGGCGTTCTCGGAAACTAGAGCGAGGATGCTGATCAGTGCGGGGAGTCCCGAGACGAGCACGGTTTCGCAGCTGTTTTTAGATGCGCACAACGCGGCGCGCAGCGCAGTGGGGGTGCAACCAATCAAATGGAACACGACCCTGGCAATATTTGCACAGGTGAGTTGTAAGGGGTTGCCTCGCTATTTGGTACGCTATTTGGTACGCTATTTGGTGAAAAGCGGGTGCGGTGGTTTTGTCGTTTCAGGCAAGCGGATGGGGGGTGCACTGATTGGGGCAGAAGGCTGGCGGCGTTGGCGTTGGTTAGGAGCGAGATTATGCTTCTGGGGCTTGGAGACACTTTGCTCTCATTATGCTGGAGACAGGTCTACATTTTGCTGACTTTCATTGTAAGATTGGGGGTTTTCCTGATGATGGATCATCAGCCACATTCGGATGTCTAAGTAGGCAATGTGATGTGAGTAGGCAATCCTTTCCTGCCAAAAGCCCGGCTTTCATGTATTATAAAAGAGAGGTTTGTAGGCGTCTTCATCTTGTGTAGAGTGAAGGTTTTCTTGGACAGCAAAATGTTCGTACTAATGCTTGACGAATGCGAACATCACGATCTTATATAGGAGCTTCAACGAAACCTGAGGCTCTTGGTGGAAAGCCCTAGAAGAAAGTCCGATAATGAAGCCACCAGAACCTCTCGGTTTTCCAAACGAAGAAGCAGAGAATCAACGCCATGTGTGCCGATCGGCGCGCTTACAACCAGGGCGCCCACTTGAGTTTTCTCGAGCGTTAGGGCTCCTATTCTTGACCAACCGAAAGTTCGTGAAGCGCCAATGAAACACATGACTCTGGAACGTCCGAGCTGAGACGTTCCTCTTATCTATGAAGGCACGGGCAAACAGCAAGCAGATCAACGCAAGCTGTGCGACTGCACACTCGCAACCACAGTGCCCAATACAGACTGATTTAAGCCTTAGCGCTTCATTACTCCAGATTATCGAGCTCGAAAGTCACGCGCGAAGTCCGCTCTGAACGGTTTCTCTCTTTTCGTACAGGCGTGGGCGAACAACCAGAAGATCAACGCGAGCTGTGCGATGGCGCACCGTCCGACGAGCGGGCCCAACAAGCGCATCTACGGCGAGAACATCGCGTGGAACGGCGGCTTCAAGAGCAGCGCAACCCAGGTGAGCGGGTTGTTCCGTTGTTCCGCTCTTCCGTTGAGTGGCTCAGCTCTTTCTCAACTGCTGATGTGTCTAGGCTAGCCGCCTTCTTTCATGACTTTCTAAAAGCAAAATTCTCGAGGTGAACGGCGGCCTCAAGAGCGTTCCGATGCTCCGCTTCGATTTCCCTTCCGTACCGATGTACCGAGCCTGCCTCCGTCTTTGGCCAACTCTCCTTTCGCTTAGCTCATCTGCCGGCGCATCTGCTGGCGCATCTGCGTCCAGGAACGTCGCGCCCGGAATACAAACCGTTTAATAATCAGCAAAAGCGAGCACAAAAACCTCCCACTACTCTTCTATTCTGTTGACGGACCTTTCGCCACAAACTGCAAACTAAAGTTGGATTCTTGGATCCTTTAGCGTTTGGACTAGTGAGCGCATCCAATTTTAGCGACGGCAAACTTTTCAACCAAGGTTCGTTTCGCGAAAGAGAAAACGAGCGAACGGGGGGACACGTCAGCATCATGCAGGGTGATTCTCAAAAGAATCCTACATAAGGAGTCCTGACGTTTCCCGATTCTGATCCCAGATCACCAATCTGTGGGCCGGCGAGTCGATCTACTACAACCGCACGTCCAACACGTGCACGCCCGGCAAGGTCTGCGGACACTACACCGCGGTGAGCGCACCAAATCTACGAGTCTAGTATAAAGTCTTCAGAAAATGGTGCCTTTCTAGCCTGCAACCGACATGGGCTGTGAGTGTCTGGGGCGGGTAGTCGCACTGAAGTAGTCTCGCTCGGAGTCGTAGCTTTTTGGCAGTGACCAGGCAGCCTCAAACTCATTGCTCGTGTCGCCTCCTTGGACGCGTCGGAAAACTCACTTTGTCAGCACTTTGTCAGCACTTTGTCAGCACTTTGTCAGCACTTGTCAGATACAGGATCGCTCTAATTATTCAGAGTCACGAGCAGCCTTCACCAAGCCCTTTGTTGGCACCGTACTCGGGCGCTGCAAACCAAGTCCCGGACCCTCTTGTTATCCATGATTTCTGCCAGTCCCGTTCAGACGAAAATTCGAACTCTTTGCTATTCTGGATGCTAGCTGTCCTTCCGGCCTCAGGTCAACGGAGTCCTTCAGAAACTCCTTTTTCCTGCAACGAAGTTCGCAACGTGAACGAACGAACGGGTGGGTTTCATACCAGCCAAGAAGTGAAGTCCTTTCTTGGATCCCGCTCCGCCCACTGATTCCGTTTCCATTTCTACGCAGATCGTCTGGGCCAAGACCACCCAGCTGGGCTGCGCCGTCGTGGCTTGCCCCGACCCCACCTACCGCATGACCCAATTCTGGGTGTGCAACTATTGGCCCAACGGGAACATCATCGGTCAGCGGCCTTATTAGGTTTACTACGACGTGAAAAACATCTAATGACGAATAAGTGATGAGAAGGGAGGGTGGGATGAAGAATCAATGTCGATCAGTTGAGGGGTGATGGAACCTAGGAACACATAGACAGGAAAAGGATTGGCAGAAGAGCGTTGGGTCATTGACGGACTGACAGAATGTATGGTAACGATACAGAACAGACAGCAATCATTCTTTTACTGACAGGTTTGTAGGACAGGTATTGAAAACACAGGGCAAGCATAAATCGATTAGCACTCGACTGGAAAGCAGCACAGGGTGGTAGCAACGGATGCGTCAAGAAAGGAAATCGACTGAGAACCTGATACGTTACAATAAGAGGACTGCTCAAAGTGCAAGAACGAATCTGGTTCGGGACGTGCGAAAGAGCGTGATATCCACATACAGTATCGATCAGATGGATCGAAGATCCGAGTGTCCGGAATTTAGTTGCAGTACGGCTGCAGAAATTTTTTTGAGTCACCTGCGCCTGTGCATATGAAGCTAGATCATCGGCCCAAAGTGGGAAACGGGACGCCCTCTGCAATCCAGGAGATTGATTCTTGAACGTGCCTGACATGCACCTTTGAGTAATGCAGAGACCGAGTTCATTTAACGGGCTGGAACGCTCGACACGTCTCTCAACCATTATGCGGAGTTGCCAATTGACATGCATGTCAGCATGTGTGATTCAAATGAGTGCCGGAGCTGTTTTGCACCCCCCCACGCAAGCAACGGCGCCATGCGAAACTGAGCTCATGACTTTGCGCGACTCTGTAATAGCGCAAGCGAAAATGATCTTGCCGCGAGTCAGGGGAACGTTTGGCATCCGGTTGTCCAGTTTGAATTCAAGGGAATCCCCCAAGCGTTGAACGGGCATTGGCCATCGGGAAGCACCACAGGTCAATCAGTTGTGCCTCATTGGAGAGGTCTCAAGCTTGGTCGGATAAACATTGGAAATGTATCACGATGCGCAGCCGGCTGATCTTGCGCGCCACCAAGAATCGATTGAAGGCTGCGAAGATGGACGTGGGGAGCAGGGGAGCTGTGCCGCACGCGGCTAGTGGGCGGATTGACGGCGGCTTGTCTGCCGGCCTGAAGTCTTGAGTGAGCTCGGCTACGTTTCACCGATAATCTTAATAAGGCTTTCCTAATTCATGGGCGACCATTCCCTCGCATAATTTTCAATAACTGGTGAGTCCAGACCAAATGAAACGCGGTGCACCGTGCCAATGCAAGCACGCCGCGAGGCTCATACTACATGGACGGGCCGCCGCCGCTCCGCATTGCCAGTGCGATCGTGAGGAGACGGCCTCGATACGGACACGAAAATAGCGCAAGCCTTGACTCGAGCTTAGCGGACGGTATCTGAGCGCAGCCTGAACGGACGTCCATGCTACCTGACGACGGTCGCGGCCTGCACGCGTGAAAGTGGCCGCGGGCGCCGGCGACGGCAGTCACACCGCCCGGCGTGCGCGGCGCGGTCGCGCCAAAAATGGATACCCATCGTCTGGTTCGATATCGGCATATTCGGAGTCGGCGAGAGCCGTCGATAAAATGCGCGCGGAGAAAGTAGGTCCCCTTTCGATCTCTGCCGACGGTAGGTTAACAGTGCTCAATGTACCCCGGACTTTGCAAAGGCTGTCGACGATTCAGTCTACAGTAAGTTAGCTAGTAGGTAGCTGAGGGTACTCCCGGCCAGTAGGGAGTGGGCACATACATATCCATCTGTACTCCAGAGCCACTTTGCAGGTACTAAAGTGTTTTGGAGTCGCTATCGCTTAAATCGTACTAAGCTTAAGCAAGTACATCTGTATCCTCTGGCCCTAAGCTTCTAGTTGACCTTGACTGCCATGTGGCACATTAATTCAAGGACATATGAAAAATAGCACGTGCTGAATGCAGCACCGAACAGAGCCTCCACGTGCCACCTTCTACGTTTATGTTCCGCTGCGTTGACCGCGAGTTTCAAGTGTAGTCTGCTCGTAGCATACCTTTGCCCTAAAAAGTAGCCGCTCTGACGTCAGCTCCTCGGACTAGCTATCAGATGTGGGCCCCGTGCGAATGCAACCGTCTGTTCCTTACGTAAGCATATGCCCAATTCAAACAATGTTAGAGCTGGCGCTTGTCTGAGAGTGCAGACACCGGTTCGCCAATTGTGACCGCATCTGCTGAGAATTCGGCGCACTTCTGAGCGGCGACTGATTCTGAATATTGGAACTTCTCTCTTTTTGCCAGCATTGCGCGAGAAGCGAGACCTGACGTCAGCTTCACAAGAACTGTACTTACAAGGTACCCAAGGCCGCGCAGCACGTAGCTAAGTGCGAGGCGGTACTGTTCTGCATTCACAACATATCATAGTCTCATCATTGTACAGCAATTAGAGTATATATATGCACAATTAGGACTCGAGGATCAATCACAGGCTTGAGTTCTGGTGTCGCCAAGTCACACTAATTAACTTCGTTGAGACCGCCAGTCCTGTAAATTTTATGCAGTTGCAATGTGCTCTGTTTGAGCGTTGGTTGCCTCTGGCCTTCTGAAAGCAGGCGGTATTACTGGCCAAACGCGGGGGCCAAGCAATCATGGTCTTTCTGATTCAACTTGGCTAAATGCTGTGGTCTTCTTTCAAGGCCGCCTTTGATGCCACTCCCATCCGTCATGCTGGCCCTTTCGGAGGAAAGGAAAAGGGATTACGATAGGATGGGCAGATTGCCAAACGCAGGCTCCTATGGTTATGTGGCGCATTCATAAGATCTGAACCATGAGAGTGCTTTGAAAGCGAGCAGGGAACGAAGCCCGTCCCAACCGAGGCGTTCCAAGGGGGAATGATCATCAGGAGGAGATAGGTGACTATTCTGAATATTTGAGAATAGGAAGACTTACAAAGCTCAGAGAGGTTGGATTCCACAGAGGACGCGCAAGGCCTCCAAAGAGCGCTGCTTCAAGCAGTCAGACCGCTTGCTGTGTTTCTGTATATGAAGGTTCAGGGCCAACTCCATCACTGGCAGATAGCAGACGGCAGACGCCAGACGTCAGCACCCGCCAGCTTGACGGAAGGGACACGTTTGGAGAGGCGAAGCAACTGGGTTAGCAACATGAATGCTGAGCCAAATGCGGGCCAGCTGAAACCTGAATATCGGGGCCCTAGCCACTAGACGCAGCATTCCACCGGGGGACCACCGTTTTTCAAGTCATGCAGGCAAGCCCTCGATTCTTCTTCTCCGTCGGAGGTCTATATGCCAATCTGCCCGAAGTAGCTATGCTGCCTTAGACAAGGCTGAGAAATCGCAGACGTTCCTGAGGTTGTAAAGAAGGTGCGAGGTGTAGGTTCTCGTGTTCTGGGGGACCGAAGGGAGATCGGGAGGTCGTGAGATAAGACTTAATGCAGTATAAGAACCTCCTTCGTATTTAACAGCACAATATTGAGGCAGCTACTGAAGAAGCTAAACTACCGCAACAAATCATCATATGGGCGGAATAAAAGAATTCGTTTTCGTCCTTAAGAAGACGCTTGTCTTTCACGAACGACCGCAGAGTTTTCATGTTGAGTTGTCTTCCTTCTCGTTCACTTTGAAAGTGCTTGGTTCATAGTCTCTCCCTATGCCTCCTTGGGGCTGGAGCAAACGGCCAAGCGACAAGGAGCAATTTCCTACCTCTTATCCGGTAAAAGACTGCCTATCTCTAAATTTGGACCTATCCCCTAGAAAATCAACAGCTATACCTGCTCATTACAGCTAGAACCCATCCCGTAAAAGAGCTACATTCGTTCACAGGCTGTCGCAAAAGAACCGAAGACATGGCTTCAGCAGATTGGCAGCATTGAACAACATTCAACTCTGCCTGCAGAGACTCGCTGGATCTTAATAAGGGTGCACATCACTCCTCAACTCCTTACGGCCCTCCGTTATCACAGGCCGCCCTAGAGGCGCGCCCCCGATGGGCGCACTGGGACGAGAGCCTCCGTTCGGACGTGCACTTCCGGAGCTTCGCCACTAAGGAGGCGACACGTGGCAGCATCAAGTGGCCCCCGCAATGGAACAGCTCTCCCATCGTCGACCCGCAGGGCCCTTTAGCGGGGGTCAGGGAACGGGCGAGATCGGCCCCCCCGGAACGGAACAGGGAACGAGGGGAACGAAAAGCAGAGAGGGGATCCGTGGTGCCTAGGTGGGTGATTGATGCGAAAATCACAAACCCAGATTGTCACAGCCATAAGTGGAGCTAATAGATGCTCCGCTTGTGAGCAAGCGCTAGACTCGCCAATACAATAATCACGGACGGCTTCGATGAGGACGCAACGTTAGGCACGATGCTGCTCAAGCATGATGGAGGTTCTACAGCTATCAGTCGTGGCAGGTTTCGTACTTCGTGACGTGACGTGACGTGACGTGACGTGACATGGAGAACGCCGAAGAGTCTTTACATGATTAAAGTCGCTCAAAAAGTGGAAGTTAGTCTAACTTTCTCTTCAACTTACATCAAGAAGCAACAGTTCCAATCCTGCAATCTCAAACCCTGCCCTCCGGTTCCGCAGGTGGGACAATTCCGTCGAAACCAGCATCCGGGAGCGCACCGGAAAGGCAAAGCTCAAAGTGACCCTGCCCAAATATGCGGAGCCGTTCCGACCGAAGAGCGCGCCGCGGCCGTCGCGCACCGAGGTAAGACGCCGAGATGCTGATGTCACCTCCTTGTCACCTATATATTGGTCTTTGATGATCCTATAATCTTGAGCTTGTTTGAAGTACGCCGTTGCAGACGATTCAGCCGTTCCGTTGGATCAAGCCGCTCTGAGTTTCGGTACCTACAGAGTGGCTGCTAACACGAAAGCGACTGTTTCATTCGCCACGATGACAGAGCTCTGTACAATTCCAAGCAGGGACACGAAACAAAAGGAAAGATGACAGCTACGGTTGGTGATCATTCGTAAAATGCATCGGATTCAGCGTACAGGAACGGAGTTCCTTTGCACACTCACTGCTCCTGTTTTCCTAAGTGTTCCAGAAGCTGCTTTCGAAACGCTCTGAAGCTCTCTCTAACCTCTTTAGTTTCCGAGCCGTCTGGTTCAACCACCCAGCACGCGACACAAGGCAGAATAGAGTTCCCGTTTCGAAGATTACGGTTTCCTTTCAAACAGCTGTACCACGACCGGCTCATTGACCAGCACTTTTCCTGACAGGTCCCCCGGTCAAAGACGCCCGTCAGCCGATCTTGGGAAGGCCCTTTCTCGTCGGAACCCGCCGCCCCTGCAGCGACCGGAAGACACGCCCGGGCTGTCCGCACGCGGCCGCGCGCGCTCGCACCAGGGGACCTTCGCGCCTCCGCTGAGATGTTCCGTACAGTCAGACGGAGATCTCAGTCCCCAACGTTTCCTCGAGGAGGGATGCAATCGGCTGGGCATGAGAAAGAGGTGCTCGGGAGAGCAAGAAATGCGGGCTGCTCTCGACCGGTTTCTAAAGGAGGGCTACGTGCGCGCCAACAGAGTGCGAGCGCCGACCACATGCCGGACTTTGACTACGGAAAGGGGACGCGGCGCGCTGCGCGGAAAGATGACACCAGGTCTGGAAGCGAACGCGCGGGCAGGCGCAGACAAGATTCGGTGTCAACGCCGCGCGCGAGCGTCGTCCAGGACGTCGCCGCGGCCGCAGACGCGGCGCTCGCCAAAGCCCTGTCCCTCCTCCGCCAGAGCGCGCCCCCGCCCGCGGCGCTGACTAGACCGAAAACGGCGCCGCTTAACCGGACCCCAGTGATCTCCACAGACCTCGACCCGCCCACGAGTGCGAAGGTCAAAACGAGCGTTTCCTCCAGAGCCGATCGTCTCGCGGCCGCGCGGCCGCGCTCGAACTTGTCGCGGCAAGCGCTCCCGGCCGTAGACGACCCCCCGGGCACAATCGCACCCAATTCTCATTCTCACAACGAGCACGGTAGGAAGCTCCGGGCAAGCGACACCCCTTCGATGATTACACCAAAGCCAGCGGGTCTTGTGCGGCGGGTTGTTGCGTCCACGGGCGAGGGCGCCGCTGACTGCTTCGGTTTGGACAGGGCCTCGGAGTGGACGAGCGCGGCCGCGAGCGGGAGCGCGGTGTGCCTGGTTGAGCTGGCCCGGGGGGAGACGACCGGGGTGTTTGTGAAGCTCGTGGTGACGGATCGGGAAAGGGCGCTGGGCGGGGTGCGGTTCGCGCATGCTGCGGACTTGACGGATGCCTTGGAGGAGGTAAGTAGATCAGAATTATCTCGTTAGGAGGTATATTGGACGCCTCTGTCAGTTTGAGCGGTCGAACGTGTCGAGAGAAACGGCCATACAACGTGCACGGTCGCGCGATAAAAAGAGACAAGTCTGCTTGATTGACGGGTCGGGGCTGGCCTGTTCAGTGGCCGGAATGCTTTGCAGAATACATTACGAACGGGAAGACTTTCGAAAGATCGCGAACAACCGGCTTCGCACCCAAAATGAGCACAGAATCTGAATAACACGACCAGAATACAAGACCGTCGGTAAAGCCGGACGACCGGGTATCCAACAATGTCTGTTTTGTAATCAACTCACTCTTCAGCGTCCAGGTTGCGGAGCAGCTCTTACACAATCATGGTTCGAAGTTTCAATATATCCGTCGAACTTTCTCAGGTGGGCTACGGCGACATCCGCTTCCACGCCAAAGACAACCCGAGCCCCGCAAACCCCGTGGTCCGAACCTTCAAACTGGGAGCCAAGACCGCGATCGGGCGTTACCTCAGCGTGACGCTATACCCACGTCACAGCTCGCTCGCGGACACTCAAAGTGACATCAGCGTCCAGAGGATCTACGTCGGACGGGGCGATCCGGCCCTGCTGTCCGAAAGCGTTCTGATGCGGAAACCGGAGAAGAAGCTCCGGATGGTCGGCAGCTTCCGGCACGTGTTTGTGGAGGAGACCGGCAAAGAGAATCGGGAGGAAGGGAGTCAAGGTCAGATCTCCGGTGCAGATGTACCGGTCGCTGTTGACGGCTCGTGGAATGCACCGGTCGCTTTCGACGGCCCGGGAGATGTACCGGTCGCTTTTGACGAGTCGGTTGATAGTTTAACACAGGCCCAAACTGCAGAACCTGGGGCAGCGGTGGCAGGGATAGATTCTGCTCGGCAGTCCGGCTACCGAGCGTCGAACGAGTCAAACAACGGAACGTCTCTAGCCCCTGGAGAACTTTTCCGAGTAAGCGAGTTTGGCGACCGGTCTAAGCGAGCGTCCGCCGCTGACGCCTCCGGTTATAGTACCCGGCTGGTGGCGGTTAAAAATAACCCGGGGAGCGCAACCGAGCGGGTTGCATCCCCCGGGCCGGACCAGCTTGAGGAGTGGCTCGCGGGCGCTCTGCGGTTTGACAGACCGAGTTTGGAGGAACGGATGCCGGCTTATGTCCCGGTCGCTGACTCGGAGGCGGCGACGTATGAGGGGCCGAACACGGGGGATGGTCGCCTTGATGAGGAGGAAGCGGGGGAGGAGATTGTGGAAGAAGAAGTTCGGAGCCAAGATGAGTCTCAAAAGTTGGACGAAGAATGGAACGATATCCTAACTGGTGAAGCATTGGATGATCCAGCCGCTGGAGCTGGAATAAGTGACCGCGCTGACGGAGTAGATGAATGCTGATTTTGCCCCTATTAAGGGAGAACAGCTAGTGTAGAAAAATATGCAATAAAACCTTTCGTCAAGGAGAATATACAACGCAGCATGGTCAAAAGAAATTATTAGAAAGGTTCCTTGCGATGTTAGGGATCAAAATTAATATATCCTTTGAGGATGATGTAGTTCCGGGTTGAAGCAGTAACGTGCAGAGGACTAACGATGCGTGTCACTGACAAGATTGATTGTCAAATATTCTTTGCGGTAACTTTATCGCCGGGAGTTGATCTGGAATGATTACTGCATGTGATTGGACGCCTGGCATTGACAGAAGGCGCACTGATGCTATGAGTGCCCTGCGAACGTCAACACGTGCTGAACTTATATTAGACACTTAATTCAATTTTCAATATGCAGAACACCAAGGTGAATCGCAAGTTATTCCGGCAAATCAGGACTTTCGCATGCATGTTGCTGAACGGAAACGTCTTTGACTCTGAACCACAGGACAGGTATTTTCTTGAGAATTGATCAAGGATTCTGAAAGGCCAATCAGGCAACAATTTAGACTCCATCTATGGAAGTCATGTTGGTCCTTATAGTGTACTTTTTGTCATCTTGAGCTTCGCGTCAAATTCCTATCATCTGACACGTCCAAAAACAGAAGCTCTCATGTAACTTGCCTCGTAGCATTCTCTCGTAAGTAGGGCTGCTCGGATTGGGGTATGTCTGACAATTGCCTATTGGTTGCACCGAAGCACGTATATATTGGTTGAAGTTTCCTATTCTCTTCCGGTTCCGAAAGCAGTGACTGCTTGAACTTCTGAAGGGGTTCAATTCTTCACACCACTTTGAAGTGTCTCTTCTCTGGGGTGACGTCAATCGTGCACACCTGTTGAGAGGCTTTCTTGGTCAGCCGTTCAGGCCACTGGACTTAGAAGCGGAATCCACGGTTTTGGGTCGGCGCTTTTTTGACAGGCTACATGGTTGATTTTACTTGCTGTCTTCAACCGGATGCAGTTGAGGCGAACCTTTGCCTACTATAAGTTTCCTGCGCAGGCCAGGCTCATGAACGTGGCCTCTGAGTTGAAAATTATCTCACACGTTCTTCGAAGAACTTGAGCACGTGTTGAACAGGTCAAAGCACATCCATTTTATTCATTGAGACCGTATTCGTATGGCCTTCCACATCCTTGACAACGTGGGTACAGATCAGCAGCTGGATTGATCCACACATCATGTAGGGCACGTAGGAACTGTTGCAGTTGCCCAATGCGCAAGTACGTAAAGGAATTTGCAACGTCAGCACAGAACGTACATATCATCATCATACGCTGCTCCATGCATCCGCGCCCCTCGATGTCGCACACCGCGCGCGCGTTCGTCCACCACATATGTCCCTAAACGTGGCGGCCGCCAGGCTGCGGCGTCGCTGGCGGCCGCGGCGGCTGTTTCTGCTCGAGCTTAGGATCCACAGATACTGATTTACAGATGCCAAAGATTCAAGAAGATCAGGATTGGCTGCTGAAAGGAGCGCAATACCTGCAGTGTCCTTCTCCAATTAGGGCTCATTATCTGAACTGCTGATGATCCCTCATGGTGCTTGAGCTTTATTCCGCAGGGGCATCTTGTTCAGACAGAAAGCTCTTAGAATGATTGGGAAGAAGTCGTCATGGCCGCTACCTTGCAATCCTTTGTTAGGACTGTCGAAGGGAAGACAAGGGTCCTGCGTATGGATCCGTCCGCCTCAATTAAAGAAGTACTAGTTGAAAGCGCAGTTGACTGGGGCCCTCTGGGAGACTTCCTTCTAGACAACGTTTACGTCACGCATCACGGGCGACGGTTAGACTCTTGTTCAACACTGGAGGAGTCAGAAGTGGGCAACCTGGACGTCCTGCAGCTAAGGGGTCGACTGAAGAGCACTTACTGTCCTCAAGCTCACAGTCTAGTGTATGAGTTTTGCTTCCTTGCTTGGCAGCTCCAGCATTCAGGACTTGGGGAAGTTGCCTTGCAAAACTACTTGGATGAATTCAAGAGCCTTAGCACAGCTTTGATGTGCTGCATCCAGGGCCGCGATCCAGTCAAGGCTGGTTATCTGGCCCGCCTGTTCCTTGCTACCGATTGTGTAAGGTACATCGTGACGATGCTTTTAGGACCTTCTGCAAACTCGTTCAGGTGAGCGTATGTAGTTTGATGCAGACAAAATAGCTCAGCTAGGGTTGCTGAGAGGATGTTTGCAACTTTTTGTTAGCTAGCTGCTATATAGCTTTGCAGCAGCTACCGTGTATTCTGTTCAGGGATGTGCCTGGAGAGCCTCCCTAATCTTCGTCTCACTACCTCTTTCCGTACAAGCACAGGGATTGCAGATCTTGGTTACAAGGTTTGGTCCATTTCCTCGTCTTCTCATCTATTCTGGATTGGTTTTGAGATACATCAGAGTACCCCCAGTAACAATCTTATCTTTCAAATTGCAGTACAAGGGCATCAGAACATTTCATCGTGCGCTTCGCCAAATACTGCAACCCGGATGCAAGGCCGTCCGGTCTCAAACACGTGGTGCAAATTTTCTGGAGTCTCCTTCGTGACCTATTCACCAGCCCTTTCTTGGAGGCTGCTCTTCCTCGAGTCCGTGCCTTCCTCCAACAAAGTCAGGAGATACTCTCAGCGGCCATGAGCGTCGCACTCTGTGCAAAACAGCTGGACCTCCTTCTTCGAGATCCGACCATTAGAAAAGAATTTCGCCGCCCGGCAACTTTGTTCCTTGATCTAGCTCTATCAGTCCGGAAGCGCTCTCTGCAGTGGGTCTGGGAACTCCGGTCTCGTGGGTATGATCAGACGACAGAAAGAGAGTCCTGGCTGACAGGTGAATACTTCACATCGGGTCTCAGTATCTGCTGCAAATATCTCAGGTCCCAAGCTGAATACAAGCGCAAAGTCGTCCGCATGGAGCTTCTGTCGAGCTTGCTCTTTGCCTCGCCCTCCTCCGGACCTACTGCGCAGATCCTGTACGGAAACCTCGAAGAGGCGATCAACGGAGTTCTTGATGAACTCGGAAAGCTGCCTCTTCCAACTGATGCTCGAAAGCAAGGCACGCAGCTTGTCTCGGCTCTGCTCCAGGGACTGCGCACGATAGCCAATACGGATGCCAGTCTCAAAATTCGTTTCTCCGCTCTCCTCCGCGTCCGAATCTTCCCAATCGTATCTCTTGTGTTGGAAGAAATGAAGGATCTTGCGTCCTCTGGAGGATCGTCTCCCTGCTACCTGCGATGGTTCTGGTCCTTAGAAGAGAGCGCAGAGCTTCTTGACCCCAAATGGAAGCAGGAATGGATCCGCTACTGCTTCCGTAGCCGCGAAGAAGACAACGGTACCCAACATGAGGTCGTCATCCAGAGAGGCACGAACCTGCTGACTCAAGCCGTCGAAAACTTAGGGTCCGCCTCCTGGAAGTCTCTCATGCGGCCGCTTGCTGTGACCTTCGAGGGAGAAGAGGGGAAGGGGCCAGGTCTCTTACGGGAGTTCTTTACCCTGGTAAGACAAACCCTGACAACTTGCCAGTTCAGATCTACTATGAATCACATCGGGTGAAAGAGAACTCTCGCAAAGTTTTAGGTTACAGGAATGAAGACACTCCCAAGAATGAAATGTGATTTTCCATAATAACGGAAGGATTGAGAGCGGGTGTAAATTCCATCTCTGTTGAACTTCAGGTTGCATACCTCTCTCTTGATTGGAAAAAGCAGGTTAACACAACAATGCATGCACGCTTTGCGACTAATCCGCTTTTGGTGTTGCTCTGGAGTAGTTAGCGAAGTTCTGAACCTCTGAGGATCACCGTTGGGAAAGAGCAAGCATAGAAGGATTCCTGATACTAGCATGTCGCTTTCTGCCAGGTCACGCGGCAGCTCTTTGACCCTGCGTGTGCGCTGTTCGTCGCGACCGGTCCCGACAAGCGGTGCTTCTTTCTCAACCACGCCTCTAGCATCAATCCCGGCCATCTAGCTTACTTTAGGTTCTGCGGCCGCTTTGTCGCACTCGCGCTGTCCGGGGGGGTCGTTTTGGGAGTTCGCTTCACTTGCGGACTGTTTGATCTGCTCAAGAAGGCAGACGCAAGCTACGTTTGGAACATCGAAGCGGCTCTGAAGACAGCGGAGGATCTTGATCCGGTTCTATTTGACAGCTGCAAGAAGCTGCTGGCAATGAGTGCGCAAGAAGTAAGTTCGCACTTTCGAAAGTCCCGGTTCCTCCCTTCATTGAGTTCCTGTATGACATTTGAAGCAAATCAGGGGTAGTCGTATCTTGAATGGATGTATATTGGGTACAAGTACAAACTGAAAACATCTTCAAAATCCTCAAACAGCTTGATCTGCATCAAACGAGTTAGAAGATTCGTCGAAACGGAGGATAAGCAAGAAGTTTTTGCCCCATGTCTGCACCCTACTTTTCCTCTGCCATCTGACTTTTGCCCGCCTTCTACCATTTCAGCAGGGAAGAGAATCACAAGCTACCTTCTTTGCAACCACGCCTAACGGCTTTCCTACGTCTGAAAGTGATCAATCACCAACCTACAAGCGTTCTGCCTTCTCTACAGTTGAAGGAGGCCTCTTTACCGTTCGTGTGCACGGAACCCGACGGCTTCGGCGGATCCAATGAAACGCCCTTGATCCACACAGATGGGGATCGTTTCGTAACGACAGCGAACCGGGAGTTCTTCGTTTGCGAAAAGATTCGGCGCCAGCTGCTAAAGCCCGTTATGAAACAAGCAGCAGCGCTCAAGGAGGGGCTCTCGTATCTGCTACGGCCCGGAATTGAGCTGTCCGAACTCCTCGGACCTTTGGGGCGGCAGGTACGGATCTTACGTCTTGCTGTTTCCGCTATGTCCAGTCCTCCCGTCTGTATCGGAGGCACAATGCACGTTTGGTACTGTTAGCAGATCTGATTCAGGAACCTAAGTTCCTCTGATAATCCTAATGCTGCTTCCTCAATCTAGAGCATTTTCGAAGGCTCACAATTCTCCTCTCCTTGTTTTCTTCGAGTACGGTTGAAGTCGTCTTGATCCGAATTTTGTATGACTAGTCTCTTTAACCAGCCGGGGCATTGACTATGGAATTCATTTCTCGTTCGGCTCCAGTACTTTGACCAACTGCTTCTCGGCCAACCGGAAGACCTCTCCATCGTGGACTGGAAGGCCCACACAGTCTACCACGGCTACGGCGCCAAGTCAAAGGTCATCAAAAGGTTCTGGAAGGTCGTGGAGGGCCTCTCGGACGATCAGCGGCGACGCCTCCTCTTTTTCGCCACTGCTGTGAAGTCGCTCCCGCTCGCCGGTTTTGCCGGCTTACAGTCCCGATTTCACATCCACAAAGCCGATTGCGCGTTGAACAGGTTGCCCACCGCGCACACGTGCTTCTTTCAGCTTGTCCTTCCGGCGTACGATTCCTGGAAAGCTATGCGACGGAGTCTGCTGACTATCGCGCAGGAGGAGGTTTCGCAAGGTTACGGGATGATTTGAATGCAGACGTCGCCTTTTGAAAGTTCGTCATAAAGAATTTGGACAAGATTCTCAAGGTTGGTCAAGTAAATAGCTTCCAGGATTGGCAGTCTGACTGGCTCTCTCCGCAAACTCTGCCGCGACTTTTCTTGAGAAATACGAACTGCCTTGCAATAATTGAACTTACTTTTAAAGCCAATCCTGAGGGTTGCCATCTCGCTTAAAGGGTCGATTGGTTCCGACCCTAGCTAGCGCTCTCCCTGTCTTTTTAGTCCGTTCAATTCCATCCATGATTTTAGAACTATCACGTGACCCTACTTAGAACATGGCCCGCCGCGCTGGTCGTCAATGTCACTTGGGCCGGGACGCGCAGCTGTCCGTAGTGCATTTTTCGATTCAATACTCTACCATGCAGTGCACCATGCATGCATGAAAACCCCCGGATTCTGAAAGGGTCGATTGGAAACAGTACAATTATGCACAGTGCGTGTCAGACGTGTCTTTCTGGTGAGAAGATCCCTGTCGGACGTTCAAGCGACTGGTCTTACAGATCGAAGTGACTCTTTTGGTCGTCATTGTCATCACAAAACAACCCCCCCTCAACTTCCATATGGAATGCATACGAACTTCAAGCCGGTAGAATCTCGTACGAGCGCCGCATGGAAATTTCAATCGGCGTCCATGTGAGTGCGGCATGGAGATCAGACATTCGGTTTCCATGCGGTTTCCGACCAAGAACTCGCTTGGAAACCGGACGAAACATTCATATGAACACCGATCGGGAATCCATATGGAAATCATGTTTGGAAACCATGCGGAAATTGTACGAGGGTGGCGCTTGTGAACATCATGCGGAATCGGTACAGAACTCGACTCCGGAAACTGCGGCCTATTTACATGATATCCAAGCTTGTGGTTACCGTATGATATCCATGCGGAATCTTATCTTAGGGCTGGATATTTGACCTGCCATCCATGGATACGGGAAGGCCGCAAGCCTTTGGAAAATCGAACTGCTAGTGAGTAACATACCGAATGGGCTGCCAAGGCAGTACTTCAAATGACTGACACATAAATCTTGCATGTCAAAGCCTTTGATATCCTCAACAACACGAAATACGAATAGCTAAAGAACGTTTTGTAGAGCTGAGCAGGTTGATGACGTCACTGTTGGCCTGCAGGCTTGATCTCCATGCTTGGTTGGTGGCCAAGCTTGAGCGGAGGTCTGCAGGTTGTAGAAGTTGTAGCAGGGCTCCAGAGCTTGGCTGTCCCGAATGAATGGGCCTGCGACAGGGGCAAGAGGAGTGAGAATCTGTAGGCTAGGCAACAATTGCTTAGGTCTTTCGAAGCTTGCGTACTTAGACTCCAAAAAATCTCGACGGCAGCGCTTTCGAAACGCACGCTTTCACCAAACATTTTGCACTTCAAGCGACTCCAATAAAAGCCGCAAAGACAAGCAGACGCGAAATGAAAATCTGTGCTTATAATGGTCTACAGGTGCTCTACTTTCTCGGACCAAAGTGTTGCGAGTCCTAGCCAGGATACCCGAAATGACACTGATGAGGCCACCGAGATTGGTGCGAGTGCATGCTCCAGACAGCAAAGCAAGTGCGTGCAGCTTGTAAGTCTCCTGAGGTCCAGCAAAGTACCAAGCGTCAGACCCACCTGTGGTGTCCCCAGCGTTGGCCGCGTGCTGACTAGTAGATAACCGCGCGCAACCCGCCCCCAGGACCCAATGAGGCAAAAAGCGGCGAAGTCCGTCAGCGTCGCCCGCGCCTCCGCACCGGTGCCTGCGCGCGCGCAGCCGCCGCTCCACAAACCCGGCTCCACCCCTGCCGTAAGCGTGCTTGTCTCGACCATGCCGCGGCTGCAGAAGCTCGTCCCTGCAATCAGGAGGTTACCATATTCATTCCGGTCACTATAATGTTAGAGAGGTGTGGGCTGTCACCCTCCGAAGATCGTCAATCTGTGTGCCCCACAGGCTGCGGAAACAACCACGGCGGAAACCCCACCAAAAGCGCCGGAAGAACTTGTGCTGGGCACCGTCTCACTCAACGTTTGTTTCGACTAGGTTTAGATTTAACGGCTGGAAGGTTTGCGAATCGACATTTCCAAAACCTAGATATGATTTTTAAGAAGCTGGATTCATTTTCAAAGACCCACTGTCCGACTAGCTCACTCGCCAGCTTGCAAACAGATTGTCACTCATAAGCACAAAACCGCATCATAACTATCCCGCAGATGAAAATGACGACGCTGTCTCTAGCTTTGTGGCGGCTCGCGTAAGGAACAAACGAGCACTCAAAAGAAAGTCTTTCTGAAAGCGGCAATCTCGTCCGACTCAGAGCAATAAAAGGCAGTGACAAATCGTCGTCTACCCACGCAAATCCTCACCGCAGCAGCGTTGGTCATACAACAGTCTCGCGAACAAGATGGACGTCTGGTCGGTGACACGTGGCCCGCCCCGGAGCTCCTCCAGTAGCGCATCCACGTGGTGGAACACTTTCGTGAAGCTTGATGCCGAACTGGAAGAAGAAGGTCTTGCTCATGCTCTTGCAGTCGTCGAGACCTGCACAATCAACGACTGTCCTTCAACGGTTGACACACACCCTAAAACCGGCTTAGAACTGGAAAGCTGCAGGAGGTAATTCGTCGCTTGGCTTATGACATAAATACCAGTCGGTTACAGAACGGCCGGGACAGCAAGTGAGTTCTCACAGGCATACCAGAAGAAGAGAAGGTGTTGAAGGGGGCGACAACCTGTCGAGATGAGGTGCCTGAATGGGTGTACAAGTGATAGGCTGGGCGGGTGACCCCAAGGTTCAATCAGCGCGGTGGACATCTTAGAAGGAAACGTGAACTGGGCATCATCGCTGGAGAAGAAGTTTTGAAGGCAGGCATACAATCTACGGCAAAAAATGGAGAGGTCAACGCAGATCTCCGCGGTCCCGGATTCATTGTTATCAGGAGAACTTGCCGGGTATACTAATCAGAATTAACTTGTCAGCACTTGGTTCTGTCGAGGACTTGTATAATGGACCAGAGGGGGTGCAAGCCCAAGTGGAAACCGATATCCCCAGGATCCGGATCAGTTGATCGGATTCTTCAAATGGCTTGTCAACTTCCACTTCTCCGGGTTAGGTAGACGCTTTTCATGATGGATGTGAGCGATAATGAGCGGTCCCTCACCTCCGCATGCACTTACTGCTCGGAGTCGATGGTTGCTTGGTCTCAACACGCGAGCGGGCGGGCGAGCGGGCAGAAGGAGCGACACGTTGCATACCTGCAGACACGGCACAAGAGGTTTGAGCTTGGTGTTCCCAAATTCGGGCTTCCCCGTTACAAGCAAGTAGAAAAGGAAGAGCGCTGTCATACAACTCCGGCTTGCAATTGAGACATGATGTCTGCAGAAAGATTGAGAAAAGTGTGACTCAACAGGCTCGGCGACGCCGACACGTTTGCATAACAGCGGACAAATTCCGACAAAGTCAAAGAATCAAGGGCCTTGCCTTGACGAAAGCCTGAGCGGCTCTTGGGTTCTGCGGAACCAAGTCTCCTTCAAGCTCTCCGCGCATCGAGAGAAACAAAGGCCGCACAAACACGCGTACGAAGGTGGAACCTATCTTCCTTGTGCTCTACTTTTCATTGAGCTACAGTAACGGTTGTTCTAAGTCTCGACTAACGAAGTCAGGGAAGTCTACTGTGAAAGGTTGGGGGCACCATCGAAACTCCGAAGCGAATAGAAGCGTTGCTAACCACTTCTTCGCCCGCCCCAGCCTGTCCGAACGTTCAAAAGGTGAGCACGGCCAGTGCGGCTTTCACCAGACGTCCAGCCAAGTGCCACGTGTCGACCCACCTGTCGTCTTCTCGCGTGGCCCTCTAGCTGGCCCGTGCTGGCTAGTAGGTGGGCAAGGGCAACCCGCCTTCAGGACCCAGAGCGGCGAAGGGCAGCGAAAATCAGCAGCGTTGCCGCGCTCCCCCACCGTTGCCTACGCGCGCAGCCGCACCTTCCGCGCTGCCCCAAGCGGTTCAATGTCTCAGCTAGTATGCCGCCGCTGCGGAAGGTTGTTCCTGAAACACGATTTAAGAGCATGAATGCCGATGACGATGATTAAAAGTAAGATGGACCGGAGGTGTCACGTTGGTAGTGACCAGTGGTGCTTCGTGGGTCCTAGGGACTGTGGAAGAATGGCAACGTGCCAACTTGAAGACCACTAAAAGCGCCAGTTGACTTTGCATGTCACTTGAATCAGGGAAACTCCCGTAACTTAGACAACGCTTTGCAGTCCCGGTTCAGCGGCTCAAGAATCGACCCAACTTTAAGTCCAAAGAAGGCTCGGTGTTAACGACCTTTTGAAGAGCCACTTTCCGTTTCCCATCACCAGCTTTGATGCAAACTGCTGACCGCAAAGCAATGTTTCGCGTTGACTTTCACCGAGGAGACAAAAGAAGCGTCTGCGACACGGTGCTAAGAGATAGGACCGAGGTGGAATTGCACAATGGAGCGGAACTGACCTGCGGATGATGAGCACGTCACTGGTCGCTACTCGCCGCATCAGCATCGTTTGAACGTCTTCTTCTAGTAGCCCTTGTCTGCATCTGAGAGAGAGGGCGGCATGTTCAGTTTTACAAACTTCATTTCAAACCGAGTGTTCAGGTTAACACCTTTTCGTGCAAGTTGGGCCATCGCACCGTTCGACCTCGTTTGTCCCTTCGATTCCGTCGGTCCGTAATCAGATTCAATACAGCAGGTACTGCAAATCTACGCAAAGCAGCCAGGGTAGTGCCTAGATACCCTCTTCACCCGCGGGGCCCGCCCGTGGTACCCTTGAATCCGGCTTTGCATGACGTTATATTCAATTATCCTCGTCTTACTCGGTTGAGCCACGAAACGGATAGGCACGCGACATCTCCGTTGATTTCGTTGGACAACGTAGCCTGAAGGTTTAGAGACGATATCAGGCAGAAGAAGACAGACAAACAGGCGGAGCTCTTTTCAAAACTCGACCCTCATCCCGTCTTATCCAATACAGCAGAGTCTAAATTTTGATAAAGGTGTGTCCGACTGCCAGAGCGGCCTCACCGCAATCGAGTTGGTCGCAGAGCAGCCTGAGAAGCGAGATGGACCTCTGGGAGTCGACGACACCCGGCCCGCCCCAGCGCCTCCCCAGGAGCGCATACGCGAACGTCGGCGTGGTAGAAGATGCGGTGCAGCTTGATGTCAAACGGAGGAAGGAGACTCCGCTTCGGTGCAGTCGTGGACAGCCTGCGGAACACACAGCTCTTATTGATCGCACGACATGAACGACCTGGTAATTTCAAAAAGGACTCGCAGTCAACCGGTCGCTTGAATGGGCAACACAAGGCGAACAGTCTGGAACAAAATTGCGGGACAGTGCAAACTAGTGTACCGAAACGACAGCCGAAGGGAGAAGCGTGTTAAGAGGTGGGAAATAACGCCGTGACGCCAGCTATGGTGGGCTCGTTTGATTGAGACACAAATGCCTTGAGTTCCAAGGAAGTTGGTGCGATATACAGGACAGCCTCGCAAGATGAAGGCAAGCACATCTAACGGGCGACCGGAATCGCTTGAAGCAGGCAGACCGTCCCCCGGTAGACGGTCTACCGGGGGATCAGAAGATAACGGACGCAATTCGAACCCAAGTGCTTCAGAAATTATTGCTGTCAAGGAGATCTACTCGGTCAAAAGGTCAACCGCGCATTCGACTGGCCTCCTGATTGATTCAGTCGTGCTCATGATGCAGAGAAGACGAGGGCATCAAGAAAGACCATGAGCGCTGCAAGTGCAAGTGAGTATACCGACATCCAGTGTCTCGAAATCAGCCAACCGGGTTCGTCAAACAGTTGCGGTCCTCTCCATCTTTCCAATCTAGGCGGGCGCTTTCAGTGATGCACGTGAGCGAACGCGAGAGGGCCCTAACCTGTGCCGACAGATGCCCGAACATGCTTCTTTGGTGAGGTCAACACTTGTTGGAGCAGGCAACACGCTGTACAGGTTCGCAACACGCGGTACATCTGCAGCAACGGGGTTTCAAGTTCGAAGTTTGTGTGGAGTTCAAGAAGGAAAGCGGATGGACTACACCGTCGTAGAAGTTCAGTCAAGGTTGGATTCGGGCTTGACCTACCGCCCTCGTGTCAAAAGCATTGGTCGCCAAGAACCAAGTTCGTACAGCAACTTGAAAAGAAGCACGTCAGCAGATTCTGACGTCCAAATCAAAACTCGACATCGGGACAATAGTTACCGGTCAGGAGTTTTTGGTATCGGCTCTTACAAGCACACTTCTATTGAAGAGAGCGGCCGAGCAGTAAGAGCCGCAACACTCAAAACGATATGGTCACCGAGTGGTCAGGTATATACCTGGGGCTGGTGGCTGGTGGCTGGCGGCTGCCCGGGTTGAAAGATGACAACGATCTCAATATCTGCACAAAGGAGTGTTTTCGAGTGTGACCCACGGACTTGTCCTCCAGAAGTGACGGCACGAAAATACTCAAGTAAAGAAGTCCGTAGTAGCTGCGCCAGACCATGTAAAGGGGTTTCTGCTTTGGCAATCCCAAAGGAGCTCGAATCTTCACGGTCGACATGCGGAATCAGACAGGTGTATTTAAAGTAAACGCTTCCAGCAAGAACCGTCATGGAAGCAAAGGGATTTGACAATTTCCCGAAATCCAAAGTCTTCGGTAAACAATCACAATTCTGTTGCGCCTTCAAGGTGTCAGCCAATCGAGACAAATCCCGCTTGTCCAAGGTAGCTCTTAGGCGTAGACGGCCTCACCAAGACGTGTACTGGAAGAGGAACCGGTTGACGAAGAAGATCTCGGGCAGGTCGTTGCGCGGCACAACGTGCACGGCGCGGAGAACGTTGGCGGTGTCGACCAGCTTGAACTCGCCGCCGCGCGCCATGCCCTCCCACTTCAGTTGCACGCACTTGGTGAGCTTGTCGATGGCGGGCAGCTTCTTGTAGTAGCGCACCAGCGCCATCTCGTGGCGCCGCTGCTGCCCGGGCGCATGGCCCTCCACGGTGCAGCTCAGGAAGAGCCGCACCTGCGCGTGGAGGTCCCACGGGGCTTGTCCCTCGGCCTCTCCTTGGAGCGCGATGTTGCTGTACCAGGGCCGTCCGTGGAAGCTCGGAACGGCCCTGGCGCACATAGGGCGGGGGCCGAAGCGGTCGCTGTCGCCGGTCGGCAGGGCGAGGGCGCTGTGCACAGTTACCTGCGGGGAATATTGAAAAGCTTTTGCATTAGGGTCGCGCATAGTCTGATAGACGCCCGTAAGAGAATCAGCTGCCGCAACTGGAAAACATAACTGGAAAACATAATTCGCTATTATGCTGCTAGCACCGAATCAGAGTTCCCTGATCCACCCACGAAAGCCCAGGCGTTCGACCCAAAGTGCAATGCGCAGCTTTTTCAGATCTGAACGTTGCATATCAGCGAAGGAGCAAGAGGGGAAACGCTAACAAGCTTGTGTAAGATTCCAAGGATGCATCAGAAAAGGCTTGTCGAAGTTGAAAATGACCCACCACGCGCTTTGCAATCCGGTCGTAGTCCTTGCCCAGAAACTTGCGGAGTTGTGTAGCGAGGTGTCTCAGCTCGGGTTGCTGATTTAGCAGCTCGCGCGCGTGTTTGGATGAAGAAGGCCCGTCAGCTGGATCCGAGCTCGGGTTACTGATGTGCTCCAGCCACGGGAGCCTCAGGTTGAGCTTGACGGAGGACAGCACGTTCCGGCGGGGGTCGCTTGTCATCGCCTGTCAAAAGAAAAAAGAATCGCAGGATGATCCGCTCGGTAATTCCTGGATCACAGAAAAGCTCTCGCCTTGACTTTCGAGGCACTAGGGTTTAACTCGGTTCCAACCAAAGCAGTTGTCAATATCGTTTAAACTTCGGGCAAGTGGCGACATCTCCCAAGGACGAGATGCAGCTGCTCAGACTTTCAAATGATTGCAACGACAACGAGATGCAAACGCTCGGACTTGCAAATCACTGCATCGACAACGTCACACCTGCCAAGGTACATTTTTCAAGCACTCTGCGATGAGCGGACAGGCAGGCTTGCAGATCATCTCGGACCTCTAAGTGGAATCATCCTCGAAACCTTTCAACAGCTTCGATTCCAGTCTTACCCGTTGAAGAGCCGTCCTTGCATTGTCCTCGGTGCGCTGCTCCTCGTCCTCCTGGTCCTCCTCGTCGGCATTTGGCAGGCCGGCTGCTTTTCGCAGTTGGCAGAGTCGTCGATGATGTTTGAGGACCTGTGAAGACGGTTTACAAGTGCTCAAGCGCAGGCAAAACTCGGATAATGGATTGCATCCCGGGGAGTCCTGGTACAAAGCATTTCCAAAGTGGACAACACAACGATGTCTCACAATCGATGCCAAGCTGCAAGAGAACGTCAAGCTAGAGGCCGGCAGCTCTGTCCGACCGCGACGCTACTTGAGAATGTGCAAGTCAGCCAAACTCCAGGGCTTTAAAGAGTAGATTCGACCGCAAGGTTTTCTTTTGCCACGCTCTCTAGAGCAAAGAGAACGAAGTCGGCTGAGCTTAGACGAGCTCGTCACCTCTCGCTTCACCAGAATTCAGAATCCTCTTACAGTTCAAACACTTCAAGCCCCGATTAGAAAGCCATGGGCACCACCGCTCACCTGGTCCATCGCGTTCCTCCGATTACTGGCTCTGTAGCCAATTTTGAGCAGCTGTATGTCGAGCGACTCGAACAGATTTGTTGAGTAGTGAATGGGCACTCCGGAACGCCATATGCAGTCCCGGTAGTGCGAAACCAGGTGGATTTTGATGATTCGGAACTCGGAGGCTTGCCCCTCGCCGAGCGTACGAATGATCGCCTTCACAGCCCTGCACAACAAGGACACTTCAGTCCCCGAGTCCGACTGACCAACTTCATAAACTTGAGGTTGTACACGACGTCGCTAGCTGTCTAGTAGACCAAAACTTTCTATACTCCGTGACCGAGAGCTGGAGATGTGTTGAAAAATGTTCGAACCTAACTAAGCAAGCTGATTGGAAACAAGGGCATGTCGAGACTCGTGAAAGTAGTAGCTGAATGCAAGTGACCAGAGGGCTCCTTCGGTCTTTCTTTCTGCAAGACAAGAGTCCGCAACCGTTCAACTTGCAAACCAGAAAGCGGCCCATGTAGTGAACAGTCAGTAGGAGACTAATCTGTTAGTGACTAAATTTAGAAAAGGGTGACTTCCCGGATGATGCTTGAAGACTGACACGACTTCCGACCCCGAGCAGCTCATGAACCTGGTGAATCTAAAGTCGGACTGATATGCTTTGCCTCACTTTTCGCCTTGTCGCTCCATCTGGGTCAGCGAAGCCTCCGTGTGTTCGTCCGTCCGGCAGGCAAGAATCACCCAGTCCACGAACTCAACCAGCGCCGCAATGATGCTGTTGTCCACAAGGCCGACGAGAGCAGGGATGACCACCTGAAAGCGTACGGAGGTTGTGGTTCAGCAGCTGAATGAAGCTCGGGGCTGGCCTCAAAACGTAGGTCCTCATTTGAAAATAGACGCTGCTTTCAGAGGAGAGACACCGCAGCAAGGGCAAAGCACAGGCTGCCATGTTGGTGACTTTGTAAATTGGAAAGTTCGCCTCCCGGATCGTCTTAGAGGAAGTGCGGATGGCTGGTTGCGATACAAGAAAGACGATTCAAAAAGCGAGGTATCATTCTTCTGAATAGCATACAAGCAGATCCGATCGTCTTACCTGCATCACCGCCCGATGTTCGAATGCTGCAAACTTGGATCTGCCCGAGCTAGTGAAGTACCCTCCTTTGTCAGATCCGGGCACACGCAGATCGGCGAACCTGAAGTGATGTCACGGGAATCAGGATTCCTGCTAGAGTCGCATTCACATTGAGAGCTCTTTGGCTGTCGAAGCAAGTGCCTCACAATCTGGACATCTACTATAAGCTGAGGAACTAAAATCTCGGGTTTGAATCTCCTTGGCTTTTCTAAGTAAGTCACATCAGACGGACTCCCTGACCAACATGTTACACGAATCGAGAAGTACATTTTGTGGTCAAAGACCAGGTGAACAAGTGCCAGAGTACCATCTAAGCCAACCATTCCTACTGCTCTTCTGTAGTGCTCTGACTTCTCACCTGTAGTTCTCTTTAATGTCCATGAGCGCCTTCTCGATGGCGCGCGCAATAGCCGTGCGGTGGGACCCCGCTGCCACGTTGAGTAGCGCGTCGCAGATGGTGGGGAACAACCCCAAGTCCGTCTGGTGCATCATGTCTACGTGCACCGCCCGGTAGGGGTTCCCCCAATCGGTGTCGCCCCCATTGAAGCCCCACAGAGCGCACTGCACATGGGTCGACAATCGCATTGGAACTGTTGTCAAAAAGGTGGTCTGCTCGAGTGACCTGGATGAATGTCCTCCAAAGTTGTGCTCTCAAGTTGTCAATCACGGGCTTGATCACGGGCTTGTTCTACCAAGGCTTTACTGCCGAGAAATTACACAAACACGCAAGAAAGGGGCTCTCAGCTACGGCAGGACATAGGAAGCTTGGAAGACTAATTCTTCTAAAAGGTCTCGTCCTCACCTCCACGGGATGCAAAGACAGGCCCATCGACCACTGATCGCGCTTCACAGGGTCTATGTCCTTGTTGGTGATCTTGGCGTGAGCCGCCATCATGCCTTTCTGCGTCCGGAAATGGAAGTGCTTGTCCACCTCGCACAGACGAGAGGCGGGGCACATGCAGATGCTGCACGGGGCGTTCGTCTGGTTCGTGTCTTTCGTACACGTCACCTGTGGCATGAAGCAACGGGTTGGTGGTCAGATATTTCTGCTTCAGACCCTCTTCGCACGCAGAGTCTTCATTGCAACATCGCAAACGTTCTGCAAACCTTCTGCGAGAACGCGGGCTGACATTTCAGTACCAAGCTTATTGAGAAGCAAGACCTTTGCTAACTTGTCAACAACTGTATTGCCTGAGAGGTGTACCACATCCAGTTCTCAATTGTCTTGATGCCTGCTGCGCCTGCGAAAGGTTGGACTCACTTTGCATCCCTCAGGATGATCGCAGACGTAGGCAAACAACATCGGGTAAAACCACCTCTCCTCAGCGTCCGGATCCTCTGACATGAAGCCCCTGCACACACATCAGGTCAACCTTTCTGTTAGCAATTAAACCCTGAAGTTTAAAGCTACTTCTACTTGCTTCCGTTTCAAGTGAGGAGCTTGTACGCTGGATTGCAATCACTGCACTTTGGGTACAAAGCCTGTAGTAGCGAGCAAGAGATCACACAGGGAGAAGGTTGAATGCAAGGCAGCTATAACTCACGTAAAGCTCGCATCCTTGAGCGGTTGCAGAACAAGCCGCAAGCACTCCTGGAAGACCTCCAGCTTCCGTAAGGTGAGCTCAGCGGACCCAGGCTCAAAACCTGCAACCAATTCGAATATTCCAGAACTTAGCCCAATCCTGGCAAGCAACAATAAGGTCTGACCTCAAGACTGAGTCACATGCCTGCTTCGAACCACCAATTTCGAACATGTCCGGCAGCCCCGCTTACAGCAATTTCGCAACTGCACGCAACCTTTTCAGATCCCGGCCCGGATCTCGAGCAAGTACCTGGATGTCCCGGCACAGCGTGTAGGATGGGGAAGATAGCAACCAGTGCATGCCCCCCAGGTTCATTCCGACGGTGCGACGCAATGTTTGCGGATGTGAGGGCGAACGGCCAGCCCAGGACGCTCATGTCGTTGGAGAGCGTGGTGACGTCACTGTTCATAATCAGCGGAGCGATGACCGCTCCAGCGTGGCCCGTTCTGTTGATGTATTCCTGCACGAGACACGCATCATGGTTTTGGACTTGCAGGAGCTCCTTGCAAAGCGAGCACTAAAGTGGCCATAATTGGAGACAATGCTGGCGACACTCTCCAATATCTCTTTCTGTAAGTTTAATCCAATTCCATCCAAAAATTTGCCAAGACTGCAGTGCCAACGAGCTTATAAACTTCTGATTGGCGACTTCTAAAGTGGCACATAGGTCTCCCGCTCGGTTCCTTCGCAGGTGGCGCTGACCCAACCGGGGGGCAATATCCGAGGCGTTTCTTCCCCCCCGTTGAAGATGACTTAATCACAAAACCATTCGCAACCATGGCACAATCTTTAACCACTCAGGTCTCACCTGAGCCTGTTCCCAGAAAGTCGCCGTGTCGGGAGAACTGACTGTACGATTGCCCTTGCTGTCTTGCGGTCGATCAGCTAAGCCCGTCGAGTTTGCAGAGTTGGAGAGCATCTCCTTGAGCGCTTCCTCCGGGTCTCGCATTCGGAGAATGATTGGGTAAGGATCGCCCTCTTTGCTGAGGTCGATGCTCACCCATCCCTAAAAAGACAAGAAGATGCTTCACTGAAAACTGAGTAACGCAATTGCTTCCCCTCACTTTCCACAGTACCAATTTCAATGAACATCTGCCAAGGTCCAAGCTGCCTTTTTCTATTAGATTCAGGGCCGCTGTCTGATCCAACTTGCACGTGCAATAATAAAAAATGGATAGTCTCAAGGACCTGTTGAACATCCTTGAACGACCTTCATTTTACCTAAGTTCAGAAGATGGTCTCAGCAGTTCCTGGCGCAATTCAAAGCAACGCTGACATCACAAACGCCAATTGAGAATCATGACCAACTTCGGGTCAGTTGGACGCTATTTGCAGGGACTCCAGTCACAAAAGATATAAAAAACTGCTGCCATGAGATACACAAGAGTAATGATGCAGGGAACACCCTCAAAACCCTGCACTACAACTTTCCTTACATCGTCATTGTGAAACCCTTCCCGACGCAACACTTACTAGTATTTCCACAGCCAGAAAGTTCAGCATTGTCAATTGTGCATGTTAACATAGTAAGACAGCCCTGGACGCCAATAGAAGTTGTTTACTCACATCACTTTCTTTGAAGAGCACGCGCTCCTCAAACTTCTTGAGCGCCGCCGGCGTGCGAGCCTTGACCTTGGAGGCGTCCAGGTCTTGGAAGAAGAGCAGATTCATAAGGCTTCTAGTGTCTTGTTCGCTGAGGCCGACATTGTTCCGGCACCGCCGCACAAATTGTAGGATCTTCAGCGTCTCGCGGATCTCATCGTCTAGCTGAGGAAACCTGCTCTTCTCTGGATCCTCAACCGGATCTGAGAAAAATGAGCCGCCTGCGCTGTGTGCCTGATGCGCACCATGATCCTCAACAGAAGCGGCCCCCTGCCCCTCCCTCTCTTCCGGCAGCTCAACCCTTTGCCTTTTGCTGCCATGCGGCTCAGCTAGCGCTTGACTGGGGCCTGCTTCTTCCGCAATGCTCAGATCTCGCAGCAGCTCTTCTGCAGGTGCTGCTTTCGTGCTAGGACCTGCCTCATGTCTCACCCACTGACCTGGGCACGCGAACGACTCCCTGTGGCTTCCCAAAGAAGCGGGGGTTGGAAACTCTCGCCCGCAGGCGGCACACTTGTGAGGCATTTCTCTTTGCACACACTCGGATCTTCTGAGGCTTGCAGGTAGACTGTATGCACTTCTTCAATCAGCCTGCAAGGATTTACTTGCTCCAGTGTGGAAAATGTCCAGCGGGTTGATTCAGTTCTGCAGCGATGGAAGCAGCAGATGACCAGCGTCAGCTGCCCTGCATCTTGCGATGCGGATCTGACTCTTGGCGCAACCACCTCTGATTTGCAAGAGCTTGCCTCCCTGGAACTTCCAGTGGAAAGCCACTTGAGGTTCCCTTAGACAAAGGGAGTGCTTGCATGCTGCTCTCCAAAAGTGGTCGGCTGACACTGTATTGGGCGGGCTTCCCAGGGAAATTCACTGCAATCCAACCCGGTAGAAGTGGCAGGGGGCAAGCTCCAGGCTCCCCTTCCCATTGGCACAGTGGGCACTTCCCCTCTTTCTAGCCTGGCTAGGGCAGCATTTATCCAAGAATTGAAGGATTTATGAAAAGTTGCCTTCTTGACCACAGAAACCGCTGATTCCACGCCTTCTCCACGCACGCAAACCCCCGAATTCACGCCTCCGATCCAGCTGTTTTACCATCCGAGTCCCCAAATTTTGCGCTGCTATCACGTGTAAAAACAGCCGCATTTGCCAGTGCCACTGAAATTGAAACCCTTAAACGGTCTCAACTGAACAACTGTTGCCAGATTGCTTTCTTGGCATCTCTTGCATACAGGTACGGTAGTTGTGCTGCACGCGACTGCCAGCCTGCAACTCTCAAGACCATGATTGACTCAAGAGTCAAGTGCTGCACAGCCAGGCAGCCTCCATGTGCAGGCAGCCTCGTTGCTGGTCAACCTTTCGAAAGCGTGAGCTCTTGGTTGGCGAATGGAGGGCCTTTGCGTGCATCTTCTGCATCTCTCTGCCTGCAGCCTACAGCAAAAGCTAAAAAGACGGATGCTAATTTGCATAGAGCTGGATTTCTCTCATTTTGGAAGAAAATATGTGCAATGCTGAACTTGTGAAAGTCAGAGTGACCGGGCCAAGCTTGGGTTTGCATGGGCTCTGCAGACGCTAGCAAGGCCAAGGATTTTTTCCTGCATCAGGCCTCAAACAGCATAGGAGGCTGCGTGTCTTAGCGAACATTGCTCATCTCCTCATAAGCAGGTCCCAAGAATCTATAGAAGCACCTCTTGCCAGCATGCCATTTTTCTCGCAGCTGCAGGCTGCAAGCAAAGGCTTAGAGAGCAAAGGTGGTGGGGCTCTAAATGGCAAGGATCATCAGTGGAGCTTGGGGGACAGGTTGGCAGGGATTGCAAAGATGCAGAAGAAGCTCAAGATGGCTCCGCGACGAGCTAGGGTCGTCGATGATGAGACGTCTTCAAAAGATGATCCTCCCAGCAAACGGACAAGGTCTCATAATCCAGCTCCCTCATATGCCAGGTCAACCAATGGAGGGGATGCCGATCCAACAAGAAACGAGGAGAATATGGATCCGAGAAGAGCGGCAGCGAGCAATGATATTACTGCGCAGATACGCAACATGCAGGCACCGCTGTCCCCAAGAAATGCCAATGCACAAGGTCAAGCCGCTCGTAAAAAGAAGACCGCAGGAGTTCCAATGACAGAAGCAATGGGGGTTGCAAGTCGTGCAGATCAGGGTGAGCATTCTGTTTGCCCCTTTGCATGAGGTCCATTATCAAGCCTGGGTTCTCAGCGAAAGGTCTACAGGGAAATAGAGTTTCCAGTAGCGATGGAAGTCCGCTTTCAATTTGATGCATTGTGGCAGGGTACATTATTGAGATCTGTCCTGCAAATAAAAATGGTGCCTGTAGAAAGAGCATTGTTGAACCAACCTTTACATTTCTGCAGAGATATAGCGCAATCTGGTCATGTGACTCATTTTGAGACACATTGAATCTTGGCTAGGTCCAAACAGAAGCCAATTCGTAGATTGATGAAGGACAGGGTTGGCCATTTTCATTTAGTGAAAACCTTCTCAATTGAGCATATGTCTTTTACAGAGTAATTTCATTCAGCTTGGGTGTTGTCTCTCGTTAACACAGCAATCACATTAATCAACTTTTAACTCGTGGGGTTTTCCCAAGCATTGAGCTGCGAGTGTAGCTGCAAGTTTGAGATCAGAAGCAAAGATGTCCGACTTTAGAATGGCATTGTTGCTGGGTCACTTGATGAGTAGAGGGTGGTCAAAAAAACTTCAGCAGAGCATCATGTTCTATCAGATCTTTTGAATACTGTCAGGTCCATCTATGTATGCGTGCCAGGGAAAAGAATCTCCATTTGCCTTCACTCTGGTCACAGTCTGAGCAGCGAAGCTGTCAGTACAGAAGAAAGAATGTAACTAGTGTTTGCTTTTTCTTCTCAGATCAAACACTCAATGCGACTCAGATGGTCAAATTTGAGAGGGCAAAGGCAAAGGTCAAGGAGTGCAAGGCCAAAATTGGGACCCTAGAGAAGGAAAACAAGGATCTGCGCGTCGTGAACTTGTCCCTGGAAAAGAGCTTGGCGGCCATGAGAGATCGGTATGAGCTGCCGGACTACCTGAAACCAGAGCACCTAAAGGTAGGTAGATCCATATAATTGCACCTTCATATTTTTTTCCAAGGCTCAAAAGCCTGTATTAATGAAGGATGACACTAATTTTTGATAATCCTAGAATTGAAGGTCATCGGCTCAGTCACGGTGGTCGCAGCCACAGTGTCATAGGTGTGCAACAGAACTTCTTGGTTATGCAGCGCACGCCTGGTTCTTGCTGCCAGTGTAAATGCGTGACTGGCTCCATCCTGGAGCGTTTCTGTTTCATATCATCAAGCTTAGGGGTTTAAAGATA